GTGAGTGGGTGGTGGGTGGGTAGATGAGTGAGTGGGTGGGTGGTGGGTGGGTAGGTGAGTGAGTGGGTGGGTGAGTAGGCGAGTGGGGTGGTGGGTGGGTGGTGGGTGGGTAGGTGAGTGAGTGGGTGGTGGGTGGGTAGGTGAGTGAGTGAGTGGGTGGTGGGTGGGTAGGTGAGTGAGTGGGTGGTGGGTGGGTGGGTAAGTGAGTGGGTGGGTGGTGGGTAGGTGAGTGGGTGGGTGGTGGGCAGGTGAGTGAGTGGGTGGTGGGTGGGTAGTTGAGTGAGTGGGTGGTGGGTGGGTAGATGAGTGAGTGAGTGGGTGGTGGGTGGGTAGGTGAGTGAGTGGGTGGTGGGTGGGTGGGTAGGTGAGTGAGTGGGTGGGTAGGTGAGTGAGTGGGTGGGTGAGTAGGTGAGTGAGTGGGGTGGTGGGTGGGTAGGTGAGTGGGTGGGTGGTGAGTGGGAGGTGAGTGGGTGGGTGGTGGGTGGGAGGTGAGTGGGTGGTGGGTGGGTGGTGGGTAGGTAGATGAGTGAGTGGGTGGGTGGGTGGTAGGTGAGTGAGTGAGTGGGTGGTGGGTGGGTAGGTGAGTGAATGGGTGGGTGTTGGGTGGGTAGGTGAGTGAGTGGGTGGGTGGTGGGTAGGTGAGTGAGTGGGTGGGTAGGTGAGTGAGTAGGTGGGTGGTGGGTGGGTAGGTGAGCGAGTGGGTGGGCGGTGGGTGGGTAGGTGAGTGGGTGGGTGGTGGGTGGGTTGGTGAGTGAGTGGGTAGGTGAGTGAGTGGGTAGGTGAGTGAGTGAGTGGGTAGGTGAGTGAGTGGGTGGGTAGGTGAGTGAGTGGGTGGGTAGGTGAGTGGGTGGGTGGTGGGTGGGTTGGTGAGTGGGTGGGTGGTGGGTGGGTTGGTGCGTGAGTGAGTGGGTAGGTGAGCGAGCGAGCGAGTCACACATATCCGCCGCTTCGTCACCAAGTCGCTCTCCAACAGCGAGGGAATGTTAACTCGTTCGGCCGAGTCCATTCCCTACGCACACAACCATCATCATCATCAGTGTTCCATCATCACCAACACCATCATCATCATCATCAGTGTTCCATCACCATCATCACCAACACCATCATCACCAACACAACCATCATCATCATCAGTGTTCCATCACCATCATCACCAACACAACCATCATCATCACCATCAATGTTCCATCACCATCATCACCAACACCATCATCATCAGTGTTCCATCACCATCATCACCAACACAACCATCATCATCACCATCATCACCAACACAACCATCATCATCATCATCAGTGTTCCATCATCACCAACACCATCATCATCAGTGTTCCATCACCATCATCACCAACACAACCATCATCATGTGTTTCCTCATCACCAACACCATCATCATCAGTGTTCCATCACCATCATCACCAACACCATCATCATCAGTGTTCCATCACCATCATCACCAACACAACCATCATCATCACCATCATCACCATCATCATCAATGTTCCATCATCACCAACACCATCATCATCATGTGTTCCATCATCACCAACACCATCATCACCAACACAACCATCATCACCACCATCATGTGTTCCATCATCATCACCAACACCATCATCATCATGTGTTCCATCATCATCACCAACACAACCATCATCATCAGTGTTCCATCACCATCATCACCAACATCATCATCATGTGTTCCATCATCACCAACACCATCATCACCAACAAAACCATCATCATCATGTGTTCCATCATCATCACCAACACCATCATCATCATGTGTTCCATCATCATCACCAACACAACCATCATCATCATCATCAGTGTTCCATCACCATCATCACCAACACAGCCATCATTATCAGTATTCCATCATCATCACCAACACAACCATCATCATCAGTGTTCCATCACCATCATCACCAACACAACCATCATCACCACCATCATCATCACCATCAATGTTCCATCACCATCATCACCAACACCATCATCATCATCATGTGTTCCATCATCACCAACACCATCATCACCAACACAACCATCATCACCATCATCATGTGTTCCATCATCATCACCAACACCATCATCATCATGTGTTCCATCATCATCACCAACACAACCATCATCATCAGTGTTCCATCAACATCATCACCAACATCATCATCATCATCATGTGTTCCATCATCACCAACACCATCATCACCAACACCATCATCACCAACACAACCATCATCATCACCATCATCATCATCATGTGTTCCATCATCATCACCAACACCATCATCATCATGTGTTCCATCATCATCACCAACACAACCATCATCATCATCAGTGTTCCATCACCATCATCACCAACACAGCCATCATCATCAGTATTCCATCATCATCACCAACACAACCATCATCATCATCAGTGTTCCATCACCATCATCACCAACACAACCATCATCATCACCATCATGTGTTCCATCACCATCATCACCAACACAAGCATCATCATCAGTATTCCATCACCATCATCACCATCACAACCATCATCATCACCAACACAACCGTCATCATGTGTTCCACCATCATCATCACCAACACAACCATCATCATCATGTGTTCCACCATCATCATCAATGTTCCAAGTCGCTCTCAAGCAGCAGGGAATGTTGACTCGTTCGAGTCAGTCGCGGAGGGCAGAGTGGCCCAGAATCGACAGGCGGTACAATCATAAAGATAATCACCACCACTACTACTGATGATGATGATGACTACGGTTTCACTGCATTGGGTGACACTGTGAGGTTCGGATATGCGACGTTGTCCTGTAACTGTGATGTTAAAGCCGAGCACTTTGTGAAACAAAACGAATCACTTGTGGCGTGTCGTGCCCTCCCTCTCCACCCTGTTGCGGAGATGTCGAGAGGAAGCGACATGCACAGCAGAGAGAGAGAGAGACGTCTACAGGCGTGTACATTAATATGGTACGTCAAATACATTGCAATTATGAGGAAATCGTGCGTGTCTCTGCTGGGTGTGTGTGTCTCACACATCGCTAACACACACACACACCTAACACACACATCCCTAACAAACACACACACATCGCTAACACACACACACATCCCTAACACACACACACACATCCCTAACACACACACATCCCTAACACACACACACATAACACACATCCCTAACACACACACATCCCTAACACACACACACATCCATAACACACACACACATCCATAACACACACACACATCCCTAACACACACACACATCCCTGACACACACACACATCCCTAACACACACACATCCCTAACACACACATCCCTAACACACACACATCCCTAACATACACACACACATCCCTAACATACACACACATCCCTAACACACACACACATCCCTAACACACACATCCCTAACACACACACATCCCTAACACACACACACACATCCCTAACACACACACATCCCTAACACACACATCCCTAACACACACATCCCTAACACACACACATCCCTAACACACACACACATCCCTAACACACACATCCCTAACACACACACACACACATCCCTAACACACACACACATCCCTAACACACACACACACACACATCCCTAACACACACACACATCCCTAACACACACATCCCTAACAAACACACACATCCCTAACACACACACACATCCCTAACACACACACATCCCAAACATACACATCCCTAACACACACACACATCCCTAACACACACACATCCCTAACACACACACACACACCTAACACACACATCCCTAACACACACACACACACATCCCTAACACACACATCCCTAACAAACACACATCCCTAACACACACACATCCCTAACACACACACATCCCAAACATACACATCCCTAACACACACACATCCCTAACACACACACACACCTAACACACACATCCCTAACACACACACACACACACATCCCTAACACACACACACATCCCTAACACACACACACATCCCTAACACACACACACATCCATAACACACACACATAACACACACATCCCTAACACACACACATCCCTAACACACACACATCCCTAACACACACACACACATCCCTAACACACACATCCCTAACACACACATCCCTAACACACATATCCCTAACACACACACACACCTAACACACACATCCCTAACACACACACACACATCCCTAACACACACACATCCCTAACACACACACACACACATCCCTTACACACACACACACATCCCTAACACACACACATCCCTAACACACACACACACATCCCTAACACACACACATCCCTAACACACACACACACACATCCCTAACACACACACACACATCCCTAACACACACACATCCCTAACACACACACACATCTCTAACACACACATCCCTAACACACACACACATCCCTAACACACACATCCCTAACACACACACACATCCCTAACACACACACACACATCCCTAACACACACACATCCCTAACACACACACATCCCTAACACACACATCCCTAACAAACACACACATCCCTAACACACACACACATCCCTAACACACACACATCCCTAACACACACACACACACACATCCCTAACACACACACACATCCCTAACACACACACACATCCATAACACACACACACATCCATAACACACACACACACATCCCTAACACACACACACATCCCTGACACACACACACATCCCTAACACACACACATCCCTAACACACACACATCCCTAACACACACATCCCTAACAAACACACACATCCCTAACACACACACACACATCCCTAACACACAAACATCCCTAACACACACATCCCTAACACACACATCCCTAACACACACACACATCCCTAACACACACACATCCCTAACACACACACATCCCTAACACACACACATCCCTAACACACACATCCCTAACACACATAACACACACATCCCTAACACACACACCGCACACGTCTCGGCTCCCACGTGACGCCCCAGAGCACGAATCGTGTCGTCCGATCCTTTATTTGACCACGTGATGAAGCGAACCCCATCAAGACGCAAGACGACATTCGCCCGCTCAATCTTCAGCGGAACGCTGCCTTAGCGGCTGGCGTAAGGCACTACCACTAGGATACAACGCACAGCCGATCCGTAGCGGCCGTCGTAGCGACAATGAAGACTCCCAACTCCGGCAGGGATCACGGCGTCGGAATCCCCGGGGGTCCCTACGAGTTCCACTCCAGCACGCCGTGGCACACGAGGAGGTAAGCCGTGGCCACCGTGGTGGACAGCAGCATCATGGGGAATCCCAGCCTGGACAAAGACAAAGAGCCCCCGTGTAGCCTTAACGGACTGTCGGGGCAAGTGCTGTTAGCGAGCAGCACCTGTTGAAGGCCGGCACGGCGCACGAGGGGGTGGGTGGCCACGCCCGGCCGCCTTTGTCTCCCCGGTGGCGATGTTTACTACACCCTGCAGCAGGCAATTGTTTGAGGCTAAGTCGACCTAGGGGAGGCCCAGGACCGGTTCAGATAAACGCGGTGCACGACAAATCCGACGACCCGAATTCGATTCCCAACATCGGTGACGATTATGATCTGAACCTGAGCCTCAAACGAGTAGCCCGGCACGGTGTGCAGTAAACATCGCCACTGGGGAGACAAAGGCGGCCGGGCCTGGTGCTGTCCGCCCACGCCCTCGCTAACAGCGCTTGCGTCAAAGGTCGATGAGGCTACAGGGGTCATCTTTGTGCATGTGGAGGCGCCTCTCACTTGAAGAACTGCATGAATGAGAATCCATATCCGTGTTGCTCCGCAATTCCAGCGCAGACCACGTTAGACGACGCTCCGATCAGCGTTCCGTTCCCTGCGCGCACACGATCATCAACATCGTCACCAACAACAACAACATCGTCAACATCATCATCAGCGGGTATGAATCAGCGGGTATAAGTCACTGTGTGTCGTGATGGATGAGTAGGTATTGAATCAACGGGTAGAAGTCACTGTGTGTTGTGATGAATCAGTGGGTATTGAATCAACGGGTATGATTCACTGTGCGTTGTGATGGATCTGTGAGTATTGAATCAACGGGTAGAAGTCACTGTGTGTCGTGATGAATCAGTGGGCATCTCCTCCATCACCTCCCAGGCAGGCTCCGAATGCCAGCGAGTAAATCAGCGGCTTGATCGGGAGGTTCACATCCGGGTCCTGGCTCAGGTTTAGCAACACCGGAATCTGTGACACGCACACACAGAGACAAAGATCCCCCGTGTAACCCACACAGGCTGTTGGGGCAAGTGTGCAGTGTGGCACACGATCACCCCGCACAGAAATCCCCTCTCATCAAGACGCTCATACTTCGGGCTAAGAAAGTGTCAGAGGGTGATAGTCTGAGAAGTTAAATGTTAAAGAAGAAGCACTGCAATTGAACGGTTACAATGATGCACAAATCAACAGGGCACTGAATGCCAAAACCAAATAAAATAAAATAACACGAGAGTTGAGACTGCCCAAGTAATTACAACTATTAAACATTGCGGGAGTAATTGATAAACTCGCCAGATGCTTGGAAAAACAAAACATCCGAGTCAGATTTGGCACGGTGCATAAAATACAGAAATTCATATCTGGTACAAGAGATTTATTACCGAAGCTATCAACAGAAGGTGTGTACCGGATGAATTGCTCTTGCGGCAAACGCTACGTTGGGCTGACAGGACGAATGATCAGCACGAGATGAAGAGAATACCAAGGAATATGGAACACTCCCAGATACAACTGTCAGCAGTGGCAGAACACGCGTGCCAACAAGGACACTTCATTTTGACAATGTTGGAATTAAAACTAGCTACTACTGGCCAAGACTAATTAGGAAATCTATCGAAATTGAGAGAAATACAACTGAATTTAACCGGTCGTATAGCTACAGGCTTAGTGCTGCTTGGAAGTGAATCATCAAACAATACAATGTTTAAATACATTCCTCTACAGGTACGTCAATAGTGATTACCTGTACGCCGCACCCAATTGCAGGTCCTGCTATTTTAGTGCACACAATCGACAGGATGTACAATGGCAATGTGCCTGTGTAATGTACGCTGATTACCATATCGATAACCCAATCGATGCATTCACTAACCCCCTCCCCCTTCGCACGTGAAGGGCTCGCAAGTGACGTCAAGGAACGACTCGGGAGGATTTCTCCACGGATCTGGCTGATGAAGCTGGTTGTTATTACTGGCGAAACGTCGGACTCAGATTGTAAATGTTGGGGATTGCTCTTCAACACACACCGGTGTGCTGTACTAGTATACTACACTATACACTACACTATACACTACTATACACTACACACTACACTACACACTACACTATACACTACTATACACTACACTATACACTACACTATACACTACACTATACACTACTATACACTACACTATACACTACTACACAATACACTACTATACACTACACTATACACTACTACACAATACACTACTACACAATAGACTATACACTACTACACAATACACTACTACACAATAGACTATACACTACTATACACTACACTATACACTACTACACAATACACTACTATACACTACACTATACACTACTACACAATACACTACTATACACTACACTATACACTACTACACAATACACTACTACACAATAGACTATACACTACTACACAATACACTACTACACAATAGACTATACACTACTATACACTACACTATACACTACTACACAATACACTACTATACACTACACTATACACTACTACACAATACACTACTATACACTACACTATACACTACTACACAATACACTACTACACAATAGACTATACACTACTACACTATACACTACTATACACTACACTATACACTACTACACAATACACTACTATACACTACACTATACACTACACACTAGTGCTGTACTAGTGACGAATTGGCACGCTCTGTTCACGTGACGTTAACCCTTGGCTGTGTCGGGTGGTGGCGGGTTCAATGACACAACATTTATATATTTACGTGGCGATCTAACCCAAAACACCTCCATTGTGGACGAGCGGGTGGGAGGACAGCACCACGCCCGGCCACCTTTGTCTCCCCACTGCTGAGGCTCAGTCGACCTAGGGGAGGCCCAGGACCTGTTAAAGTAATCTTCACTGGTGTTGTTGGTGGCCGTGAGTGGTTGTCGTGGTGGTGGTGGTAGTTGTGGTTGTGGTGGTAGTTGTGGTTGTGGTGGTGGTTTTGTTGGTGGTGGTAGTTGTGGTGGTGGTTGTGGTGGTTGTGGTGGTAGTTGTGGTTGTGGTAGTAGTTGTGGTTATGTTGGTGGTTGTGGTAGTTGTGGTGGTGGTGGTTGTGGTAGTAGTTGTGGTGGTGGTTGTGGTGGTAGTTGTGGTTGTGGTGGTGGTAGTTGTGGTGGTGGTGGTGGTGGTTGTGGTGGTGGTGTGTGAGAGGCACCATGGTGGCCGTGAAGGGGATGTTGTCGATGAGGGACGAAGCGAGTGCAGCCACCCACAGGATGAGGACACACGCCACCACCAGACGGCTCTCTGCCGGCACCGACTGCGGGGATACGTCAACAACATCAACAACAACAACATCAACAACAACACAGCCACCACAGCCACCACAACAACACAGCCACCACAGCCACCACAACAACACAGCCACCACAGCCACCACAACAACACAGCCACCACAGCCACCACAACAACAACAACAACACAGCCACCACCACCACAACAACACAGCCACCACAACAACAACAACACAGCCACCACAACAACAACACAGCCACCAGAACAACAACAACATCAACAACACAGCCACCACCACCACAACAACACAGCCACCCCCACAACAACAACAACACAGCCACCACCACAACAACACAGCCACCACCACAACAACACAACCACCACCACCACAACAACAACAACGTCGCACAACTCGTCCTGTCCCCTATCCCCCCGGCTTGATTGAGTGAATGTGACAGCAACCAGATTCGCGGTTGCTGGCTCGCAATCATCTCCCAGTGTCTCCCAGTGTCTCCCAGTGTCTCCCTGTATCTCTCAATGTCTCCCTGTGTCTCCCAGTGTCTCCCAGTGTCTCTCAGTGTCTCCCTGTATCTCTCAGTGTCTCACTGTATCTCCCAATATCTCCCAGTATCTCTCAGTATCTCCCAGTGTCTCCCAGTGTCTCCCTGTGTCTCCCAGTGTCTCCCAGTGTCTCCCTGTATCTCTCAATGTCTCCCTGTGTCTCCCAGTGTCTCCCTGTGTCTCCCGGTGTCTCCCTGTGTCTCTCAGTGTCTCCCTGTGTCTCCCAGTGTCTCCCTGTATCTCTCAGTGTCTCCCAGTATCTCTCAGTATCTCCCAGTGTCTCCCAGTATCTCTCAGTGTCTCCCAGTATCTCCCAGTGTCTCCCTGTGCCTCCCAGGATCTCCCAGTGTCTCCCTGTCTCCCAGGATCTCCCAGTGTCTCCCTGTGTCTCCCAGTGTCTCCCTATATCTCTCAGTATCTCCCAGTGTCTCCCAGTATCTCTCAGTGTCTCCCAGTGCCTCCCTGTGTCTCCCTGTGTCTCCCTGTGTCTCCTTGTGTCTCCCTTTATCTCTCAGTGTCTCCCAGTATCTCCCTGTGTCCCCCTGTGTCTCCCAGGATCTCCCAGTGTCTCCCTGTGTCTCCCAGGATCTCCCAGTGTCTCTCTGTATCTCTCAATGTCTCCCTGTGTCTCCCAGTGTCTCCCTGTGTCTCTCAGTGTCTCCCATTGTCTCCCTGTATCTCTCAGTGTCTCTCAGTGTCTCCCTGTGTCTCCCTGTGTCTCCTTGTGTCTCCCTTTATCTCTCAGTGTCTCCCAGTGTCTCCCTGTGTCCCCCTGTGTCTCCCAGGATCTCCCAGTGTCTCCCTGTGTCTCCCAGTATCTCCCAGTGTCTCTCTGTATCTCTCAATGTCTCCCTGTGTCTCCCAGTGTCTCCCTGTGTCTCTCAGTGTCTCCCATTGTCTCCCTGTATCTCTCAGTGTCTCTCAGTGTCTCCCTGTGTCTCCCTGTGTCTCCCTGTGTCTCCTTGTGTCTCCCTTTATCTCTCAGTGTCTCCCAGTGTCTCCCTGTGTCCCCCTGTGTCTCCCAGGATCTCCCAGTGTCTCCCTGTGTCTCCCAGGATCTCCCAGTGTCTCTCTGTATCTCTCAATGTCTCCCTGTGTCTCCCAGTGTCTCCCTGTGTCTCTCAGTGTCTCCCATTGTCTCCCTGTATCTCTCAGTGTCTTCCAGTATCTCCCAGTGTCTCCCTGTGTCTCCCAGGATCTCCCAGTGTCTCCCTGTGTCTCCCAGTATCTCTCAGTCTCTCCCTGTGTCTCCCAGTATCTCTCAGTCTCTCCCTGTGTCTCTCAGTGTCTCCCAGTGTCTCCCTGTGTCTCCCTGTGTCTCCCAGTGTCTCCCAGTATCTCCCTGTATCTCTCAGTGTCTCTCAGTGTCTCCCCCCCGAGGAGTCCCCCGGTGTGCCGAGTGTGCGTGTGGGGCCATGTGTCCACCTTGATGAGACTCGATGTCTGCCGTCCAATGTAGTCGATGAGCCGCAGGTGAGCCAACGCCTGCGAGCGCGACAATGGAAACAAAAACACAGCTGACGTGTGGTGACAATGGAAACAAAGACACAGCTGACGTGTGGTGACAATATAAACAAAGAGACAGCTGAAGTGTGGTGACAATAGAAACAAAGAGACAGCTGACGCGTGGTGACAATAGAAACAAAGACACAGCTGACGTGTGGTGACAATAGAAACAAAGAGACAGCTGACGTGTGGTGACAATGGAAACAAAGACACAGCTGATGCGTGGTGACAATAGAAACAAAGAGACAGCTGAAGTGTGGTGACAATAGAAACAAAGAGACAGCTGACGTGTGGTGACAATAGAAACAAAGACACAGCTGACGTGTGGTGACAATAGAAACAAAGAGACAGCTGACGTGTGGTGACAATAGAAACAAAGAGACAGCTGACGTGTGGTGACAATAGAAACAAAGAGACAGCTGACGTGTGGTGACAATAGAAACAAAGACACAGCTGACGCGTGGTGACAATAGAAACAAAGAGACAGCTGACGTGTGGTGACAATAGAAACAAAGAGACAGCTGACGTGTGGTGACAATAGAAACAAAGACACAGCTGACACGTGGTGACAATAGAAACAAAAAGACAGCTGACGTGTGGTGACAATAGAAACAAAGACAGCTGACGTGTGGTGACAATAGAAACAAAAACACAGCTGACACGTGGTGACAATAGAAACAAAGAGACAGCTGACGTGTGGTGACAATAGAAACAAAGACACAGCTGACGTGTGGTGACAATAGAAACAAAGACACAGCTGACGTGTGGTGACGATAGAAACAAAGACACAGCTGACGTGTGGTGACAATAGAAACAAAGAGACAGCTGACGCGTGGTGACAATAGAAACAAAGACACAGCTGACGCGTGGTGACAATGGAACAAAGAGACAGCTGACGTGTGGTAACAATAGAAACAAGACAAAGCTGACGTGTGGTGAGAATAGAAACAAAGACACAGCTGACACGTGGTGACAATAGAAACAAAGACAGCTGACTCGTGGTGACAATAGAAACAAAGACACAGCTGACACGTGGTGACAATGGAAACAAAGACACAGCTGACGCGTGGTGACAATGGAAACAAAGAGACAGCTGACGTGTGGTGACAATGGAAACAAAGAGACAGCTGACGTGTGGTAACAATGGAAACAAAGAGACAGCTGACACGTGGTGACAATAGAAACAAAGAGACAGCTGACACGTGGTGACAATAGAAACAAAGAGACAGCTGACACGTGGTGACAATAGAAACAAAGACACAGCTGACGCGTGGTGACAATAGAAACAAAGAGACAGCTGACGTGTGGTAACAATAGAAACAAGACAAAGCTGACGTGTGGTGAGAATAGAAACAAAGACACAGCTGACACGTGGTGACAATAGAAACAAAGACAGCTGACTCGTGGTGACAATAGAAACAAAGACACAGCTGACACGTGGTGACAATGGAAACAAAGACACAGCTGACGCGTGGTGACAATGGAAACAAAGAGACAGCTGACGTGTGGTGACAATGGAAACAAAGAGACAGCTGACGTGTGGTAACAATGGAAACAAAGAGACAGCTGACACGTGGTGACAATAGAAACAAAGAGACAGCTGACACGTGGTGACAATAGAAACAAAGAGACAGCTGACACGTGGTGACAATAGAAACAAAGACACAGCTGACGCGTGGTGACAATGGAAACAAAGAGACAGCTGACGTGTGGTGACAATAGAAACAAAGACAGCTGACGTGTGGTGACAATAGAAATAAAGACAGCTGACACGTGGTGACAATAGAAACAAAGAGACAGCTGACACGTGGTGACAATGGAAACAAAGACACAGCTGACGTGTGGTGACAATAGAAACAAAGACACAGCTGACGCGTGGTGACAATGGAAACAAAGAGACAGCTGACGTGTGGTGACAATGGAAACAAAGAGACAGCTGACGTGTGGTAACAATGGAAACAAAGAGACAGCTGACACGTGGTGACAATAGAAACAAAGAGACAGCTGACACGTGGTGACAATAGAAACAAAGAGACAGCTGACACGTGGTGACAATAGAAACAAAGACACAGCTGACACGTGGTGACAATGGAAACAAAGACACAGCTGACGCGTGGTGACAATGGAAACAAAGAGACAGCTGACGTGTGGTGACAATGGAAACAAAGAGACAGCTGACGTGTGGTAACAATGGAAACAAAGAGACAGCTGACACGTGGTGACAATAGAAACAAAGAGACAGCTGACACGTGGTGACAATAGAAACAAAGAGACAGCTGACACGTGGTGACAATAGAAACAAAGACACAGCTGACGCGTGGTGACAATGGAAACAAAGAGACAGCTGACGTGTGGTGACAATAGAAACAAAGACAGCTGACGTGTGGTGACAATAGAAATAAAGACAGCTGACACGTGGTGACAATAGAAACAAAGAGACAGCTGACACGTGGTGACAATGGAAACAAAGACACAGCTGACGTGTGGTGACAATAGAAACAAAGACACAGCTGACGCGTGGTGACAATGGAAACAAAGAGACAGCTGACGTGTGGTGACAATGGAAACAAAGAGACAGCTGACGTGTGGTAACAATGGAAACAAAGAGACAGCTGACACGTGGTGACAATAGAAACAAAGAGACAGCTGACACGTGGTGACAATAGAAACAAAGAGACAGCTGACACGTGGTGACAATAGAAACAAAGACACAGCTGACACGTGGTGACAATAGAAACAAAGACACAGCTGACACGTGGTGACAATGGAAACAAAGAGACAGCTGACGTGTGGTGACAATAGAAACAAAGACACAGCTGACGTTTTGGGATCGATGGGATCGCGATGTCGCGAGGTCATGAGGTCGCAAGATCGTGAGGTTACAAGGTCATGAGGTCACGGGGTCGTGAGGTCGTGAGGTAAAGAGGTCACGGGTCGCAAAGTTGCGAGGTCGTAAGGTCACGAGGTCGCAGAGGCCTTCATCCAGCATCGGCCATGGATCATGGCGATGACGTTGACAATAACCGTGGTCATGACATTGATGATGATGATTTTGATGATAATTATGATGACGTCAATGGCGACAATGATGATGACAAAAATGATTGATGATGATGAACATCGACCGCGATACAAAAAAATTAAAGCAACGATGATGATGGCGAGAATTAATCACAGTCAGGATCTCCATGAAATTTCCGACGATGATGACGGCGCTGAATCTTTTTACGTGCGTGTGTGTGTACCTGTGTGTGTGTTACGGTGTGTGTGTGCACTCGGCAAAACAACCCCCTACCTCCTCGCGGTGCCGGACGGGCAACTCTGTCGTGGACAGTGCTGTGGGGGGAGATCCAATTTTGATTGGCTCCTCCCCTCATGGCATATGTGTCCACCACAGGGGCTAAACGGGGGCTCTGGATGGGTGCGAGGGGCTGGTAACCCCTCCACCTTCAATTAATTACCACGAAACCACGAGTTAAACTGAAATATGTAACAAATAAGCTTGTGCCGGAGGCCCCGGGGGGCCAGGCATCTATGACGTCTCCTGGCCAAACCCCAATTGGCGTAGCCAGGAGATTGAATACCTACCCTCGGGGCTACTCCAGAAACAACGAAAAGCCACAACAGGTGGCCACGTGGATTGTTCGAACGCTCACTGCAGAGGAGAGGCTGCCACTCCTCTGTCGGGAGCTGGACCGGTACCGCCTGGATCTATGCGGCATTCAGGAGGTCCGGTGGACCGGCTCTGGCTCCTGCCACCATGAGGGGTGGACAGTCCTCTACTCGGGGCAGCAGACTGCCAAACAACAGGGTGTGGGTCTTCTTTTGAACAAAAGAATGAAGGGGGCGTGGGAGTGTGGCGGTGAGGTGTGGGAAGCTGTAAGCCCCAGGCTACTTTGGGCTCGCCTTCCCATCAACCGGAGGCGAGGAATGGTGGTCGTGGTTACTTATGCCCCCACCGAAGATGAACATCCGTGGAGGGATGCAGGCAAAGCCGATGAGTCAGATGCCTTCTATGACCTCCTGTCACAGGTGCTGGCTAAAGTGGCCCCTCGGGATAGAGTCATCATGTTGGGTGACTTCAATGCCCGAGTTGGTCATGATACTGGCACCTGGTCTGGAGTGATTGGAGGGCATGGGCCAGATCAGCTCAATAACAACGGTAGGAGGCTGCTAGATTTTTGTGCAGCCCATGGGCTTGTAATTACCAACACGCTGTTCCGGCATCGGCGCATCCACACAACATCATGGATGCATGCCGGGTCCAAGCAAGAACATCTGCTGGACTACATAGTGACGGACCAGCGAATGCGAGCCCATGTCCTTGACACCAGGACCTACCGTGGAGCTGATCTGCCCTCTGACCATCGACTAGTCATCTGTAAGATGCGCCTGCCATTCTTCCACTCCGGTGGTGGGTGTACACCCAGGACCCCATTCCAACATAAAGTGGCCTGGTCTCAGTTATCTGATGAAAGTTGCAAGCGAGAATTTCATCATCGCTTGTGGCTGGGATTGGCATCGTCCCCGACTCCTCCTGATGTCGAGGGTAAATGGGCGAGGTTTAGGACTGTGACTCATGCAGCTGCAATGGCTGCTTTGGGTACGCGGTCCAGACCTCCCCAGAGACCCTGGCTGACAGAGGAGGTGTTCAGGATGGTTGAGAAAAAGCGACAGGCCCACTGTCATCGGCTACAGAATCCCACATCAGAGAATGAGGAGGCTTACCGCAGCCTTCGCTCAGAGGTTCGGAGAGCCGTGAGGCGCTGCAAGGATGGGTGGTGGTCGCGGGTTGCTGAGGAGATGGAGTCTGCCTCAGTGGCCCGTGATCACAAATCTCTATTTAACTCCATCAAAAAGTAACCTGCAGCGCCACACCTATTACCATCATTAGGGGAAAAAACGGTGATCCAATCTCCGACCCCCAGGAACAGGTTCGCAGATTTGCTGAGCATTTCGGTGAGGTCCTGGGGGAGGGAAAATCCCTCAGCCAGGAAAATAATCGTGGCACAAAGTGAGGATGACCCTGCTGAGGCTGCGGTGCCTCAAATATTGGAAGAAGTCACCCCCTGTGAGTGGCTGGCTGAGGTGCCATCAGCTGAGGAAGTATTGAAGGCGATCCGGAGTCTGAGACCAGGAAAGGCAGCGGGCAGAGATGATCTCCCAAGCGAAATGCTGAGGGAGGGTGGCGTTTGTGCACAGATTGCCCTATATGACATCATAACAACAGTCTGGACCACTGGACGGGTTCCGCAGGATTGGAAGGATGCCCTGGTGGTCCCCCTTTTTAAGAAGGGGGACCGCACAGACTGTAACAACTACAGGGGAATCTCACTCCTCAGTGTGCCGGGAAAGGTCCTGGCAAGGATTATTCAGCATCGCCTTGCCAGGCATGCTGAGGAGAGGCTTGCGGAGCCCCAATGCGGTTTCAGGAAAGGGCGGTCCTGCACAGATGCCATATTTTCTGTCCGTCTGCTACAGCAGAGGTGTAGGGAATTCCAACAAGACCTACATCTCTGCTTTATTGACCTGGTCAAGGCCTATGATACCATCAGTAGGCCTGGGCTCTGGGTCGTTCTTCGTGCTTTTGGAGTACCTGACCCTCTGCTCACGATCATTAAGGACCTTCATGATGGTGAGCGGGCCCGGGTAAAACTACGTGGCCAGGAGTCAGAGCCATTCCCTGTACACCTTGGGGTGCGACAGGGATGTCCTCTGGCTCCCACATTATTTAACATCTATTTTGACCACGTAGTTCGTGAAGCCTTCAATAGCTGTACCGGGGGAATCTCCATATGGTACAGATATAATGGGAGGCTAATCGATGCCCGGGTGCGGTCAAGGGATGGCTCCCTATTGCTCAACCACGTTATGTATGCTGATGATTTGGTAATAGCTGCTCAGTCAGAGGAGGAGTTGGAGACGCTGCTGCTGAGACTGGAGCGTGCCACTAAGAGGTGGGGCCTTACCATCAGCCCCACCAAAACTAAGCACCTGCCTGGGTATTTTGTACCATCGGACACTCCACCCCCACAACTCCCAATCGGTGATGGGGCAGTTGTGGAGAGAGTGGAGAGTTTTCCCATACCTGGGCAGTGTGCTTATGACTGGCTCCAGTTTAACAGCAGAGGTCTCACTCCGAATCAGTCGAGCGGCAATATCTTTTCATCGGTTGCGTAACGCTGTGTGGAAGCTACCTGGTCTGTCGCTTCGCACTAAGCTTCAGGTCTTCTCGGCCACGGTCATTCCCTCCCTTCTCTACGCTTGCGAAACGTGGACCCCCCTAATGGAACATCTTCGCCGGTTAGAAACATTTAGGCTGGCCTGCCTACGATCCATCCTGGGTTTAACCAGACTGGATTGTGTGAGGAGCTCACAAATCCTTGAAAGATCTGGGCAGGGTCCCATCGGTGAGCTCCTCCGGCAGGCAAGGCTGCGATGGCTGGGTCATGTAGCCCGCATGCCCAGCCACCGCATGCCGAAACAGCTTTTGTTTGGCCGGATTGAGGGGGCTAAGCGGGCGCGGCACGGGCTAGAGAAGAGATGGAGTGATGTGGTACAGGAGGACGTGGAGCTGAGTGGACTTGCCGATGACTGGTACCAGCGGTGTCAAGATCGGCCTCTGTGGAGGAGGCTCGTGAAGGATGCTACTGGGCAGTTGGAGGCAGTCGCCCTCCAACAACAACGGAGGACGGAGGAGCGACGCTCAGAACAACGAGCGGAGCGCCGGGTGGCTAAAGCACAGCAGGTTGGCACAGTAGGGGGCACAGGTGGTGCATCAGCCAGTCATCACAGTCAGTCGACCCGTGGCACCTGGGTCTGCCCCGTGACCTCCTGCCAGCGGGCGCTCGACACTTCACGTGGCCTCAGGGTGCACATAGCCTGGCACAAGCGTCGTGGTGACGTCACCGCCACTTAGTGGCGAATGGCGGTTGTTGTTGTTGTTGTGTGCACTCGACCCCCACAACTGACAATCGGTGATGAGGCAGTTGTGGAGAGAGTGGAGATTTTCCCATACCTGGGCAGTGTGCTTATGACTGGCTCCAGTTTAACAGCAGAGGTCTCACTCCGAATCAGTCGAGCGGCAATATATTTTCATCGGTTGCGTAACGCTGTGTGGAAGCTACCTGGTCTGTCGCTCCGCACTAAGCTTCAGGTCTTCTCAGCCACGGTCATTCCCTCCCTTCTCTTCGCTTGCGAAACGTGGACCCCCCTAATGGAACATCTTCGCCGGTTGGAAACATTTAGGCTAGCCTGCCTACGATCCATCCTGGGTTTAACCAGGCTAGATTGTGTAAGGAGCTCACAAATCCTCGTAAGATGTGGACAAAGTCCCATCGGTGAGCTTCTCCGGCAGGCAAGGCTGCGTTGGCTGGGTCATGTAGCCCGCATGCCCAGTCACCGCATGCTGAAACAGCTTTTGTTCGGCCGGATAGAGGGGGCTAAACGGGTGCGGCACGGGCTAGAGAAGAGATGGAGTGATGTGGTACAGGAGGACGTGGAGCTGAGTGGGCTTGCCGATGACTGGTACCAGCGGTGTCAAGATCGGCCTCTGTGGAGGAGGCTTGTGAAGGACGCTACTGGGCAGTTGAAGGCAGTCGCCCTCCAACAACAACGGAGGGCGGAGGAGCGACGCTCACAACAACGAGCGGAGCGCCGGGTGGCTAAAGCACAGCAGGTTGGCACAGTAGGGGGCACAAGTGGTGCATCAGCCAGTCATCTCGTTCATCTTAGTCGACCTGTGGCACTTGGGTCTGCCCCGTGACCTCCTGCCAGCGGGTGTTCGACACTTCACGTGGCCTCAAGGTGCACATGGCCTGGCACAAGCGTCGTGGTGACGTCACCGTCACTTAGTGGCAAATGGCGGTTGTTGTTGTTGTGTACCTGTGTGTGTCTGTGTGTGTTACGGTGTGTGTGTGTGTACCTGTGTGTGTGTTTGTGTGTGTCTGCGTGTGTTACGGTGTGTGTGTACCTGTGTGTGTGTGTCTGTGTGTGTTACGGTGTGTGTGTGCGAGAGTGTAGCGGTTAGCGCGCTGCGCTATGAACCTGGCGACCCGGGTTCGATTCCCGCTCACGGCCAACACCAGTGACGATTATCTGAACCGGTCCCGGGCCTCCCCTGGGTCGACTCAGCCTCAAATGAGTACCTGGTGCGGTGTGTAAACATTGCCACTAGGGAGACAAAGGCGGTCGGGCGTGGTGCTGGCCACCCACCCCCTCGTGTACCGTTCCGGCCTTCATAGGTGCTCGCTAACAGCACTTGCCCCTACAGTCTGTTAAGGCTATATGGGGGATCTTTGTCTTTGATCTTTGTGTGTACCTGTGTGTGTCTGTGTGTGTTACAGTGTGTGTGTGTACCTGTGTGTGTGTCTGTGAGTGTGTACCTGTGTGTGTCTGTGTGTGTGTACCTGTGTGTGTGTCTGCGTGTGTGTACCTGTGTGTGTGTACCTGTGTGTGTTTACCTGTGTGTGTATCTGTGTGTCTGTGTGTGTGTCTGTGTGTGTCTGTGTGTGTGTATCTGTGTGTGTATCTGTGTATGTCTGTGTGTGTGTCTGTGTGTGTGTCTGTGTGTGTGTATCTGTGTGTGAATGTGTGTACCTGTGTGTGTGTCTGTGTGTGTGCGCGTGGGGAGCGGTATTGTAGCAGTCAGCGCGCTGTGCTACGAACCTGACGACCCGAGTTCTATTCCCGCTCGCGGCCAACACCGGTGACGATCATCTGAACTGGTCCTGGGCCTCCCCTAGGTCGACTCAGCCTCAAATAAATACCTGGTGCGGTGTGTAGTAAACATCGTCACCGGGGAGACAAAGGCGGCCGGACAGTGGTGCCTGCCGCCCACCCCGTCGCGCGCCACAGTGCCGGCCCCGACAGACCCGGTAGCGGCCATGCCGGGCGGGCGGCGGCGGCGGCGGCGACCTTTGTGTCTGTCTCAAGTCGGCACCTCCATGAGGATGAAGAGCGCGGAGAAGAAGAGCAGCGTGGCCCACTCGACGCGGTGCAGGATGATGTCAAAGTCCTGAACGTCGGCAAGCACCAGGAGCCACATGGCGCCCAGCATGGCGATCCAGCCTGCACACGGCCATCAGCATCGTCAGCAAATGCATCATCAGCATCATCAGCTTCATCACCAGCATCAGCTTCATCACCAGCATCATCATCAACGTCATCAGCTTCATCAGCATTATCACCAGCATCATCAGCATCAACATCATTATCAGCATCAGCTTCATCACCAGCATCATCAGCATCAACATCATTATCAGCATCATCAGCTTCATCACCAGCATCATCATCATTATCAGCATCATCAGCATCAGCTTCATCACCAGCATCATCAGCATCAACATCATTATCAGCATCATCAGCATCAGCTTCATCACCAGCATCATCATCATCAACATCATCATCAGCATCAGCTTCATCACCAGCATCATCATCATCAACATCATTATCAGCATCGTCAGCGTCACACAATGCGGCAGCCAGCAGCAGCAGTCACATGGCATGAAGCCTTCGTCTGGCTCTCTGAGCCTCAGTGATGACATGAAACCATTTGGAATCGTCACGAAGTCGCGCGGCGTGCCCGCTGTGTGGCGAGGAGCCCACACCACCAACAACTGCCCAAGCTTTGCAGACCCCCACATATTAAGACGCTTTCACGAGTGTTTACACGAGGCCGCCGTGACCTCACGAGGCCGCCGTGACCTCACGAGGCCGCCGTGACCTCACGAGGCCGCCGTGACCTCACGATGTCGTGGTGACGTCGCCAGGCTAGCGGTGACCTCACGAGGCTGCCGTGACGTCGGTGAGATAGCCGTGACCTCACGATGTCGTGGTGAGCTCACCAAGGTAGCCGTGACCTCACGAGGTCACTGTGACGCCACCGAGGTCACGGTGACCTTACCGAGGTCGAGGTGTATGCCGGGGACGAGGGAGCTGACGAAGAACGTGGCGAGCACGGCGCCCGTGACGGCGACGCACTTGCACAGCAGCGCCGTGTCCGTGATGTGGTGCTGCCAACGCAAAGACAGAGTTGGCCCAGCGCAGCCTCGACAGACGGTCGGGGCGAGCGCCGCACGCCAGCGCCATCGCCTACGGAGGCCGGCACGGCCCACGAACCGGGCGGGCGGCCGGCGCCGCGGCCGGCCGGCCGCCCGTGTCTCTCTCCGGTGTTGGTGTTGCCACACCGCACGAGGGACACTTGTCATTCACGGCAACGACTCACGGTGGCCTCACCGCCGCTCCCGTGCCAGGCCCGAGGGATCCCCCCTACCCCCCCCTCTCCCCCCCACTCCTCCTCCTCCCCCCCCCTCTCCCCCCACTCCTCCTCCCCTCCCCCCCCTCCCCCCCCACTCCCCCCCCCTCCAGAAGAGGCCCCCTTAGACTGGACGCGCCGGTCCCTTCGCCCCCCCCCCCACGAGCTCGCCACCTTCTTCTGCAGCTCCTGGATGTTCTCCTCCCAGTTCTCGTCTTGCTCCGAGATTTGCCTGTGGCACCGCCGCCACGATGGGGATGGGGGGATGGAGGGTGGGGGATGGGGGGATGGGGGGATGGAGGAGGGGATGGGGGGATGGGGGAGGGGATGGGGGGATGGGGGAGGGGATGGGGGAGGGTGAACGAACGTCACTCAGCGATTCCGCAGCAGTCGTCCCCCGTCAAGGGCCGACGTCAAGGCGAAGGTTTAAAACGCCCGCCTGGAAGCCGACTTTGTTTATTGCACCAGGCAGCTCAGGCTCACCAAGCTGCTGGATGGAGCTTGGCGAACGACGAGGTCAGAGAAGACTTCAATATTGCGGGGGGCCACAGCACATCACTGTCTGTCGCACCCCAAGGTGAACAGGGAATGACTCTGACTCCTGGCCAGCGACCCTGGCCGTCACAAATGATTGCCCAACCACGTGGGTGGGGTGGTGGTGGTGGGGGTGGTGGTGGTGGGGGTGGTGGTGGTGGTGGGGTGGTGGTTGTGGGGGTGGTGGTGGTGGGGTGGTGGTGGTGGGGGTGGTGGGGGTGGTGGTGGTGGTGGTGGGGTGGTGGTGGTGGTGGTGGTGGAGTGGTGGTGGTGGTGGTGATGGGGTGGTGGTGGTGGTAGGGGTGTGGTGGTGGTGGGGTGGTGGTGGTGGTGGTGGTTGTGGGGGTGGTGGTGGTGGTGGTTGGGTGGTGGTGGTGGTGGTGGGGTGGTGGTGGTGGTGGTGGGGTGGTGGTGGTGGTGGGGGTGGTGGTGGTGGTGATGGGGTGGTGGTGGTGGTAGGGGTGTGGTGGTGGGGGGGTGGTGGTGGTGGTGGTGGTGATGGTGGTGGTGATGGTGATGGTGGTGGTGGTGGTGGTGGTGGTGGTGGTGGTGGTGGTGGTGGTGGTGGTGGTGCTGGTGGTGGTGGTGGGGGTGGTGGTGGTGGGGGGGGTGGTGGTGGTGGGGTGGTGGTGGTGGTGGTGGGGTGGTGGTGGGGTGGTGGTGGTGGGGGGTGGTGGTGGTGGGGTGGTGGTGGTGGTGGGGGTGGTGGTGGTGGGGTGGTGGTGGTGGTGGTGGTGGTTGTGGGGGTGGTGGTGGTGGTGGTTGGGTGGTGGTGGTTGTGGTGGTGGTGAGGGTGGTGGTGGTGGTGGTGGGGTGGTGGTGGTGGTGGTGGTGGGGGGTGAGAGCCACGTGTGTGTCCCCGTCACCTGTGGAAGGTGTTCATCTTCTTGCGCAGGAGCTCCTCCAGGCTGAGCACCTTGTGCATGAGCAGGCACTTGACGGTGGTCTCCTCGCGGCTCGCCGGAGTGATCCTCTGTGCCGCCAGCTTCCACACGAGCACCTCGTGCTGCAACTCTGCTCGGACGACGACAACAACAACTCGGTGAGAAGCGCTCACCCACCCACGGTGCTCACCCACCCACGTCGCTCATCCACCCACTTTGCTCACCCACCCACGGCGCTCACCCACCCACGGCGCTCACCCACCCACGGCCCTCACCCACCCACGTCGCTCACCCACCCACGGCGCTCACCCACCCACGGTGCTCACCCACCCACTTTGCTCACCCACCCACGGCGCTCACCCACCCACGGCGCTCACCCACCCACGGCCCTCACCCACCCACGTCGCTCACCCACCCACGGCGCTCAGCCACCCACGGCGCTCACCCACCCACGTCGCTCACCCACCCACGGCGCTCACCCACCCACGGCGCTCACCCACCCACGGCGCTCACCCACCCACTGCCCTCACCCACCCATGATGTCTGCCGGCTCGCGGTTGTAGAGTTTGGTGCCGCAGAAGAGCAGCCGCAGGAAGGGGAAGGAGACGGCGCTCACCAGGAGGATCCCGGGCAGCATGTGCAGCGTGAACGACGCGAACTCGATGCCCTGTGTCACGTGCAGCACAAGCTCGCTCACCCACTCGTCCGCTCCCTCACTCACTCATCCGCTCGCTCACTCATCCGCTCGCTCACTCATCCGCTCACCCGCTCATCCGCTCGCTCACTCACTCATCCGCTCGCTCACTCATCCGCTCGCTCACTCATCCGCTCACCCGCTCATCCGCTCGCTCACTCACTCATCCGCTCGCTCACTCATTCGCTCACCCGCTCATCCGCTCGCTCACTCATCCGCTCACCCGCTCATCCGCTCGCTCACTCACTCATCCGCTCGCTCGCTCATTCGCTCACCCGCTCGCTCGCTCTCTCATCCGCTCGCTCGCTCATCCGCTCACCCGCTCATCCGCTCTCTGACCCGCTCGCGCACCCATTCACCCGTTTGCCCGCTCGCTCACCCGCCCGGTCACCCGCTAACCCGCTCTCTCGCCCGCTCGCCCGCCCACTCACCCGCTTACCCGCACTCAAGCAAAATCTCCTCGAACTGCGTGGTAAAAGAAGACACTAAATAGTGTGTAGGTGAGGCCCGCTGAGCTACGTAGCTCTTTTTCAGAAGCGACTTGGCCACAAATGATAGCTCAACGAAGTGGCTTATAGCATCATCATCATCGTCACGTGGACATTTATAGCAGCCACATACGTCGATTCTAAATGTGGAGCGATAAACCAGAGGACCCGGAGACAAATCCACGCGAACACGGGGAGAGAGACACGCAAACTCCAAATATACAGCAGGCATCGTCAGGGTCGGGATAGAACCCACGACCTCCCGCAAACCAGGCGAGGTAGTCAACATCTCCTGGCCACCGTGATGATGATGAGAGAGGGTGCATTCACCAGGGCCTGCAACCGCGGGTTGGAGACGATGATGACGTTGGGGGGGTCCCCCACGGCCGTGGCGGCGCCGCCGATGTTGGTGAAGAGAACTTCGGCGATGAGGACATAGCGGGGGTCCAGGTTCACCACCTCGCACAGCCTGCGGGTGGGTGGGTGGGTAAGTGGGTAGGTGGGTGAGTGTGTGGGTGAGTAAGTGGGTGGTTGAGTGGGTGGGTGTGTTAATGAGTAGGTGGGTGGGTGAGTGGGTAGGTGGGTGAGTGAGTGAGTGAGTGGGGGGGACGAGGTGGTGGTGGGGGGGGGGGGGGGGGGGGCCTGGTGCGCATCACCGGATCGTGACCGGCGTGAAGAGGAGCATTGTGGTGACGTTGTCCAGGAAGGCCGACAGGATGGCGGCCAAGAAGCAGAGGACGAACATCATGGGCCACACGCGGCCCCTGGACACCTTGTAGGCCTGAGGGCCGAGACAGGAAGAGGCGGTGGAGGGCGACCGTTACCCCGGGGTCCTCGAAGGAATCGCAAGGCACTCTCCGGAGGGCACCACTGTGGCCAGGAGATGTTGACTACCTCGCCTGGTGTACAGGAGGTCGTGGGTTCGATCCCGACTCTGACAATGCCTGCTGCTGCTGCTGTATATTTAGGATTTGTGTGCCTATCTCCTCGTGGTCGCGTGTATTTGTCTCGGGGTCCTCCCGCCGCGCCTTTCACAGTTGTGTGGCTGCTGCGATACATTTCCACGTGATGGCGATGCGGCCACTTCGCTGAGCTGTCATTTGTTGAGGGCCACGGTCGCTTCTGATAAACCAGCTACGTGGTAACTCAGTGGCGGCCTTACACCTGGCAAAACACAAAAGGCAAATCGCAGGCCGGCACCTGCCCCACAACGTCGACGAGTCGCTCGGGAAGAGGTGAAACGGCACGAAAGCAATTAATGCGGGGGACGAGACGTCACGGCAGAGGGGTGAAGGGGGAGCTCAAGATCGTAGGTAGAGAGGGAACACTGTGAAAACTGAGAGAATTCCGGGATTGGTGTGGAGAGCCATCTTCCACAAGATCGTTATGAACGCACTGCTGCTTTATCACGGGGAGAGATGTCTTAAAGAAGATGGTTCTAACTGGAGTCTTATAATCCTCTGGCTGGCCACGTGTTGCTCGAGAGAACCATCTTCTGGAAGATGGTTCTACATGTACCTGGCTGCTGGAGTCTTATAATCCTCTGGCTGGCCACGTGTTGCTCGAGAGAACCATCTTCTGGAAGATGGTTCTAACTGACTGCTGGAGTCTTATAATCTCTGGTTGGCCACGTGTTGCTCGAGAGAACCATCTTCCAGAAGATGGTTCTAACTGACTGCTGGAGTCTGATAATCCTCTGGCTGGCTACGTGTTGCTCGAGAGAACTATCTTCTGGAAGATGGTTCTACATGTACCTGGCTGCTGGAGTCTTATAATCCTCTGGTTGGCCACGTGTTGCTCGAGAGAACCATCTTCTGGAAGATGGTTCTAACTGACTGCTGGAGTCTTATAATCCTCTGGTTGACCACGTATTGCTCGAGAGAACCACCTTCTGGTGGTTTATGAGGTTGTGACCGTTGCCCAAACGTTCCATGATAACTCGGGGGGGGGGGGGGGGGGTGGGGGGGGGGCGGAGGGACATGGCCACACGCTGGATTACATTATTATACCATATTATAATGATAATTATATTATAATATAATTATTATAAAATGCGCCCCCAAAGTGGTCCTGTAACGTAGAAGGAGAGCCGTGAGCCGTCTAACCCGGGAAGTGTGGAGTTTATTATCTTCAACGGAGACCTTAGGCTGCCACCACCATCATCATCATAATGATTTCCATCACCACCACAATAATCTTAATGATTTCCATCACCACCACCATCATCTTAATGACTTCCAGCACCACCACCATCACCACCATCATCTTAATGATTTCCATCACCACCACCACTACCACCACCATCATCTTAATGATTTCCATCACCACCACCACCATCATCTTAATGATTTCCATCACCACCACCGTCATCATCTTAATGATTTCCATCACCACCACCATCATCATCGGAAAGATTTACACTGTGGGCCTTCATCGTGACCTCTGCCGTGGCTAAACCACCGAGCCGCCCCTCGCTACGGTGAAGCCGGAAGCTCCCGCTAAGCTTCCGCTAAGCTCCCGCTAAGCTCCCGCTAAGCTCCCGCTAAACTCGCGCTAAACTCGCGCTAAACTCGCGCTAAACTCGCGCTAAGCTCCTGCTAAGCTCCCGCTAAGCTCCCGCTAAACTCCCGCTAAGCTAAACTCGCGCTAAACTCGCGCTAAACTCCCGCTAAGCTCCCGCTAAACTCCCGCTAAACTCCCGCTAAACTCCCGCTAAGCTCCCGCTAAACTCGCGCTAAATTCCCGCGCAGCTCCCGCTAAGCTTCCGCTAAGCTCCCGCTAAGCTCCCGCTAAGCTCCCGCTAAACTCCCGCTAAGCTCCCGCTAAGCTCCCGCTAAACTCCCGCTAAGCTCCCGCTAAGCTCCCGCTAAACTCGCGCTAAACTCGCGCTAAACTCGCGCTAAGCTCCCGCTAAGCTCCCGCTAAGCTCCCGCTAAACTCCCGCTAAGCTCCCGCTAAACTCCCGCTAAACTCGCGCTAAACTCGCGCTAAGCTCCCGCTAAGCTCCCGCTAAGCTCCCGCTAAGCTCCCGCTAAGCTCCCGCTAAACTCCCGCTAAGCTCCCGCTAAACTCCCGCTAAACTCGCGCTAAACTCGCGCTAAACTCCCGCTAAGCTCCCGCTAAGCTCCCGCTAAGCTCCCGCTAAGCTCCCGCTAAGCTCCCGCTAAGCTCCCGCTAAGCTCCCGCTAAACTCCCGCTAAACTCGCGCTAAACTCCCGCTAAGCTCCCGCTAAGCTCCCGCTAAACTCCCGCTAAACTCCCGCTAAACTCCCGCTAAACTCCCGCTAAGCTCCCGTTAAACTCGCGCTAAACTCCCGCTAAACTCCCGCTAAGCTCCCGCTAAGCTCCCGCTAAACTCCGGCTAAACTCCCGCTAAGCTCCCGCTAAGCTCCCGTTAAACTCGCGCTAAATTCCCGCGCAGCTCCCGCTAAGCTTCCGCTAAGCTCCCGCTAAGCTCCCGCTAAGCTCCCGCTAAACTCCCGCTAAGCTCCCGCTAAGCTCCCGCTAAACTCGCGCTAAACTCGCGCTAAACTCGCGCTAAGCTCCCGCTAAGCTCCCGCTAAGCTCCCGCTAAACTCCCGCTAAACTCGCGCTAAACTCGCGCTAAACTCCCGCTAAGCTCCCGCTAAACTCCCGCTAAACTCCCGCTAAACTCCCGCTAAGCTCCCGCTAAGCTCCCGTTAAACTCGCGCTAAATTCCCGCTAAGCTCCTGCTAAGCTCCCGCTAAGCTCCCGCTAAGCTCCCGCTAAGCTCCCGCTAAACTCCCGCTAAGCTCCCGTTAAACTCGCGCTAAATTCCCGCTAAGCTCCCGCTAAACTCTCGCTGAGCTCCCGCTAAACTCCCGCTAAACTCCCGCTAAACTCGCGCTAAAGTCGCGCTAAGCTCCCGCTAAACTCGCGCTAAACTCCCGCTAAACTCGCGCTAAACTCCCGCTAAGCTCCCGCTAAACTCCCGCTAAACTCCCGCTAAACTTCCGTCGCGCTCTGCTTCTATCCAGTGGGGGGTCCAGCGGATCGTGCTGCTCACGACCGTGTGGAGTCCCCACACTCGCGTGGAGGAGTCCCCACACTCGTGTGGAGGAGTCCTCACAATCGTGTGGAGTCTCACACTCACGTGGAGTCCCCACACTCACGTGGAGTCCCCACACTCGTGTGGAGGAGTCCCCACACTCACGTGGAGTCCCCACACTCGCGTGGAGGAGTCCCCACACTCACGTGGAGGAGTCCCCACACTCACGTGGAGGAGTCCCCACACTCACGTGGAGTCCCCACACTCACGTGGAGTCCCCACACTCGTGTGGAGGAGTCCCCACACTCACGTGGAGGAGTCCCACACTCGCGTGGAGGAGTCCCCACACTCGCGTGGAGGAGTCCCCACACTCACGTGGAGGAGTCCCACACTCGTGTGGAGGAGTCCCACACTCGCGTGGAGGAGTCCCCACACTCACGTGGAGGAGTCTCACACTTACGTGGAGTCCCCACACTCGTGTGGAGGAGTCCCCACACTCGTGTGGAGGAGTCCCCACACTCGCGTGGAGGAGTCCCCACACTCGCGTGGAGGAGTCCCCACACTCACGTGGAGGAGTCCCCACACTCACGTGGAGTCCCCACACTCACGTGGAGTCCCCACACTCGTGTGGAGGAGTCCCCACACTCACGTGGAGGAGTCCCCACACTCGTGTGGAGGAGTCCCCACACTCGTGTGGAGGAGTCCCCACACTCGCGTGGAGGAGTCCTCACACTCGCGTGGAGGAGTCCCCACACTCACGAGGAGGAGTCCCCACACTCACGTGGAGGAGTCTCACACTTACGTGGAGTCCCCACACTCGTGTGGAGGAGTCCCCACACTCGTGTGGAGGAGTCCCCACACTCGCGTGGAGGAGTCCCCACACTCACGTGGAGGAGTCCCCACACTCACGTGGAGTCCCCACACTCGCGTGGAGGAGTCCCCACACTCGTGTGGAGGAGTCCCCACACTCACGTGGAGGAGTCCCCACACTCGTGTGGAGGAGTCCCCACACTCGCGTGGAGGAGTCCCCACACTCACGTGGAGGAGTCCCCACACTCACGTGGAGTCCCCACACTCGCGTGGAGGAGTCCCCACACTCGTGTGGAGGAGTCCCCACACTCACGTGGAGTCCCCACACTCACGTGGAGTCCCCACACTCGTGTGGAGGAGTCCCCACACTCACGTGGAGTCCCCACACTCGTGTGGAGGAGTCCCCACACTCGTGTGGAGGAGTCCCCACACTCACGTGGAGTCCCCACACTCACGTGGAGTCCCCACACTCGTGTGGAGGAGTCCCCACACTCACGTGGAGTCCCCACACTCGTGTGGAGGAGTCCCCACACTCGTGTGGAGGAGTCCCCACACTCGCGTGGAGGAGTCCCCACACTCACGTGGAGGAGTCCCCACACTCACGTGGAGTCCCCACACTCGCGTGGAGGAGTCCCCACACTCGTGTGGAGGAGTCCCCACACTCACGTGGAGTCCCCACACTCACGTGGAGTCCCCACACTCGTGTGGAGGAGTCCCCACACTCGTGTGGAGGAGTCCCCACACTCGCGTGGAGGAGTCCTCACACTCGCGTGGAGGAGTCCCCACACTCACGAGGAGGAGTCCCCACACTCACGTGGAGGAGTCCCCACACTCACGTGGAGTCCCCACACTCACGTGGAGGAGTCCCCACACTCACGTGGAGTCCCCACACTCACGTGGAGGAGTCCCCACACTCACGTGGAGGAGTCTCCACACTCGCGTGGAGGAGTCCCCACACTCGCGTGGAGGAGTCCCCACACTCACGTGGAGTCCCCACACTCACGTGGAGGAGTCCCCACACTCACGTGGAGTCCCCACACTCACGTGGAGGAGTCCCCACACTCGCGGCCGTGTGGAGGAGTCCCCACACTCGCGTGGAGGAGTCCCCACACTCACGTGGAGTCCCCACACTCACGTGGAGGAGTCCCCACACTCGCGGCCGTGTGGAGGAGTCCCCACACTCGCGTGGAGGAGTCCCCACACTCACGAGGAGTCCCCACACTCGCGTGGAGGAGTCCCCACACTCGCGGCCGCGTAGACCAAAGCGCTGCGCTCCCCTGCTCACCATGACGGCGCACCAGTCGAAAAATCCCGTCTCAGAAAACACCGCAACGAGGATCATCTGTCGGGCGAGACGAGCGGACGGTCACTCGCGAACACGCCGCTGACGCGCCATTGAGATTCGGACGCAACAGTGGTGGTGGGAGGGGAGGGAGGGAGGGGAGGGGAGGGAGGGAGGGAGGGAGGGGAGGAGAGGGAGGGGAGGGGAGGGGAGGGAGGGGAGGGGGGGGAGGGAGGGAGGGAGGGGAGGGAGGGGAGGGGAGGGAGGGAGGGAGGGAGGGAAGGAGGGGAGGGGAGGGGAGGGAGGGAGGGAGGGAGGGAAGGAGGGGAGGGGAGGGGAGGGAGGGAGGGAGGGAGGGAGGGAGCGAGGGGAGGGAGAGAGGGAGGGAGGGAGGGAGGGAGGGAGGGAGGGAGGGAGGGGAGGGAGGGGAGGGGAGGGAGGGAGGGAGGGAGCGAGGGAGGGAGGGAGGGGAGGGGAGGGAGGGAGGGAGGGAGGGAGCGAGGGAGGGAGGGAGGGAGGGAGGAGGGAGGGAGGGAGGGAGGGAGGGAGGGAGGGAGGGAGGGAGGGAGGGAGGGAGGGAGGGAGGGGAGGGGAGGGGGACTCGGAATTGCCGGTGTCCAAATCTGACCGTGATGAGAAACAGAATCAGAATGTTTATTTGACATTGCAGGAGGAATCCGATGAGCTATGAGGCTCTTTTTTCACAGATGTCCAGTAAGGGGCACGGGGTCAGAACGTTACAACAGCAAACACAATTACAGAAACACGATAGGAGTGCAAAGTATAGGGAAGGTAAGCAAATCACCTAAAATATGTACAAACATTTAACTAAACTATTTTGATCTTACCAGGTAAAGCTCATTGAACTATCGGTTTATTTTCTCAGAAGCGACCTGGCTATCACAAATGATAGCTCAGCAAAGTGGCAATCGTAGCAAACAATCAACGGCGCAGAAAACCGTTGACACGAGTTCGATTCCCGCTCACGGCCAACACCGATGACGATTATCTGAACCGGTTCTGGGCCTCCCCTAAGTCAGCTCAGCCTCAAATTAATAGCTGGTGCAGTGTGTAGTAAACACCGCCACTGGGGAGACAAAGGCGGCCGGGTGCGGTGCTGTCCACGCACCCCCTCGTGTGCCGTGCCGGCCTGCGTAGGTGCCACTCGTGAACAGCACTTGCCCCAACGGCTTGTTAAGGCTACACGGGGGATCTTTGTCTGCACGTGCATCTATCTGCCACCCTTACCATGCCAAACAGCAGTGCCAAGGTCCCATAATCGATCCATGCCACCACAGTGGTGAGGGCTGGCCTCTGTGAAGAGAAATACAATCGATAATGATGACAGTGATGGGCATCACAGTTCCCAAACTTGAGGGTGTGAGTTCAAATCCAGGTCTCAAGTCATCATCAAAACAACATTAATAATCTGAACAGGTCCTGGGCCTCCCCTAGGTCGACTCAGCCTCAAATGAGTGTCCAATCCCCCTATTCCATTGGAACGCTCGTAACGAAATCACCGATTTGGCTCGCGCGAACGCTTACACGCCGCACGGCGGCAGGCCCAAGTCGCCACGTGGTTACTTTTGCCCCTGTTCCTCGGCTTCGAGGTGAAGGGGCAGCCCCGGCTAACTACTCGCTTGCTCGCTCCACTGCTGGCTGAAGGAGCCTCCGCTGATGGGGAGGGGAACCCAGAGAGGAGGCCCTCGAGAGGACGGTACCCACAGTGGCGGAGGGTATTTTTGGGAGGGTTAGATCGTCGCGTAAATATAAATGTGTCGTTTAAACACCGCCGCCACCAACCCCACCACGGCCAATCGGTGAGCTTTGTGTCGCGTAAACAAAACGTCCCAGTCAGTGGCTAGTTCAGCACGCGCACCGGGAGTGTGTCGGGAGAGTAAACACCGCGGCGTTTACCGTTCGAGTAGCCGTGACGTTTCGCTGGTAATAACAACAACCAGCCTCATCAGGCGGCAGCCAGAGTTGATGTCGTCACTTGTGAGCCAATCAGGTGTGGGGACCGGGGGGGGGGCTTAATGTGTTCATACAATTCGATTGGCTCACGTGTGAGCCAATTGATCCCGACCCTGACAAGGCCTGTTGTATATTCGGAGTTTGCGTGTCTCTCTTTCTCTCTCCCAGTGGTTGCGTGCATTTTTTTCCTCCGGCTCCTCTGGATTTTTTCCCTCCACATTTATAATTCTCGCGTTTAGACTATTTAGATTATTTTCCTGCTGTAAATGTCTAAATGATGGGGCCACTTTGTTGAGCTATCATTTGTGGCCAGGTTGCGCCTGAAAAATAAGTTAACACCTGAGTGGACTTTGCCTGGTAGGATGGAGATGGTTTATTTTTATTTGTATGTGTTTTGGGTGATTTGTTTACTGTTCTTGCACTTTGCACTACTATCGTGTTTGTGTAACTGTTTGTTATTGTAACGTTCTGACCCCGTGCCCCTGTGGGAGATCTGTGGGAAAAGAGCTTCATAGCTCATGAGATTCCTCCTGCAGTCAAAATAAATATTCTGGTGTATGGTTACACCGACTCTAATCCCGTGGTGATTGTTGTCTCATCTCGATTTGAAGTGTTCTTGACTGTTGTTGTCTATTTGGTGTTTGATCATCTTGATACAGTCCAGGGACTCCTCTACTTATGAACGACTTCGATTCCAGAGGTCTGTTAGAAAGTCTATTTATTCGTAAATCCAACTTTACTCCCGTCGATTCCAAACACGTGTTGTACGGCGTGTTCACTAAACACGGGGAATGTTTCAAAAAGTCCTGGAGATGTAGATGCCACTGGTTCTTCACGTGCTACAAATGTACATGCCACTGGTTCGTACGTATCACTAAAAGTTCGTGAGTCAAATGTTCGTAAGTACAGGAGCCCCAACAATTCTCCCGTAGATCAAAGTTGTCGTAACTGTTATTAGTAATATTATTGGCTCTTACCGGCATCCCGATTGAATTGAATCGATACCTATGAGCGTAGTCGCGTGCGCGCGCACTCGCACACGCACTCACACACGCACGTACGCAGGCACGTACGCAGGCACGCGCGGGCCGCTTACGTACGTTGCCGATAGCCGCCAAGACCGCCAGCGCCGCCAGGGAGCCCAGCATCGCGGCCAGCGCCCTGTGCACGACCTACAGCGGACCGAGAGTGCGTGGACAAGCCGTCGCGTCACGGACATCACCGCACGCAAAGACAAAGATCCCCCGTGTAGCATGAACAGACTGTTGGGCCAAGTGCCGTTGGCGATCACCTATGTTGGCCGGCACTGTGGCACACGAGGGGGTGGGTGGCCAACACCACGCCCGGCCGCCTTTGTCTTCCCAGTGGCGATGTTTACTACACACCGCACCAGGCACTCATTTAAAGCTGAGTCGACCTAGGGGAGGCGCATGACCGATTCAGATAATCGTCACCGGTGTTGGCCGTGAGCGGGAATCAAACCCGTGTCGTCGGGTTCCGTAGCGTAGTGCGCTACCCGCTACACTACCGCTCCCCACAAACGCACGCACACTTACACACGCACCCACACACATGCACACTCACACGTACGCGCACACGCACGCACCCACACGCACACACGCAAGCACGCACACACACGCACGCACGCACACACTCACACGTACGCACACACACGCACCCACACACACACACGCACAGACGCACGCGGCCAACACCTGGGATGGCGGTGGGGGGGTGGCGGTGACGATGAATACCTCGAACACGATGAAGGCGTAGACCGCGGCGAGGATGAGGGCGGCCGCGGTGGCCTGGAGCTCGGCGGACGCGTACTGGTAGCGGTGCGAAGCGGCCAGCGGCACGACGCGGCCCCGCGACACGAACGCCCGCACCCGCACGCTCGCCTCGTCGCTGCGGGCACAACGGCGACGAGAGGAGGAGGAGTGGGGGGATGACGACGGCGACGTGTGACGTGGCGGGTGCGCGGCGGGGAGCCGCGGTGCAGCGGGGGGGGTGTGGGTGTGAGCGCGCCTTGCCGCCCGCTGACCTCGAGATGGTGTCGATGTCGCGCGTGATCAGCGTCTGCTCCATGTTCCTCGACTCGAGCGGGATGGTCCAGTTGAAGAGAGTCTGCGGCGCAACGCGGCACCGCCCCGGGAGGGTACGCGGGGAGCACGGAGAAGGGAACAAACTCCAAATATACAACAGGCGTGCTCAGGGCGGGATCGAACCCACGATCTCCCGCATACCGGGCGACGCAGTCAACGCCTCTCGGCCACCGCGCGTCGCTCCCCGCGCTCACCCTCACCCGGCGAGGAGGCCTCCCACCCGCTGGTCCTCGCCGCTCGTCCTCCTGCTGGTGGACCTCCACCAGCAGGAAGTCGCCCGTGGCGGCGGCCCCCCCCCGCGGGGACGGCGGGGCCCAGGGAGAAGGGCCCCGTGAGGCTGAGGCGCAGCAGGGCGCTGCTGCGTGCGTCCGTCAGGTTCATGACTGCGGCGAGCGTGCGGTGAGCCGAGGGGGTTAAGGGGTCTCGGGCGGCCGCACTTGAACGGTCGCAACGACAAATCACAATTACAGACACGACGGGCCTCCATGGAGCCCAATCTGTAGAGTGTAGTGTATAGCAGTGTGTAGTGTATAGTGTAGTGTATAGTAGTGTGTGGTCTGACCAGCTAGTTGTGCCTCAGGCTTGTTCCATCTGGGCCGGCCCTCTAGCTGCTACCGTAGGCACACACTAGGCTCAACATCCCTGGTGAGTCGGTACAGTCAGCAGCTGCCAACGCCGAACCCCGGCCGCCGGTTAACTAACCCGGAACACTCAGCTTGTCTGAGCCTGGGCATGTGGAACCCCTGGTGGAGGGAATTCCACCAAAGGGTCTTTGAACCTTCCACTGCAACCAGGACCACCTCCAGTCGTCGCGACTACGTCCTGCCACTGGGTACAGGTCGAGAGAGTGAGGTCGACGCTGCACAAATCACCCTCACTTAAATCCAACTTCTCTGCGCAAGTCATGGCACTTTTACTATCGTCATTATCCAAGTCCTGTGGCGATGGTTGAGCGACGAAGCAGCAGGCACGGATCTGCTGGAAGCCGTAGCCGCAAGCCTGCACGCAGGCGGCTCAGGATACTGGCCGTTCCCTCACTGGACCGAAGCGGCAGTGAAGTCCGGCAGCACCTTGAGTCACTGAGCAGCCCGATTGAGGATCACCACACTGCTCACCTCCATAGTGAGGAAAGGGTTAGAAAAGTTACCCTAAACATTGCCTGCTTCAAAACATCCCGGCCGGCCTACCGCAGCTCACGGGATCCCATACGTGCGGTCGAAAAACAAATACAATTAAAAAGACCAAGGTGATACCACTCACTGTTGGCGCCTGGAATGTGCGCACTTCAATGGACACACCGCCCTCGTGGGCAGAGAGCTGCCCTTAGTGAGACCCTGACTGGCCAATACTGGACAGGTGACTGAAGTGGGTGCAGATTACACATTCTTCCGGAGCCGACGAGGCCAGGAGGAGAGACGTGATCCTGGCGTTGGTTTTGCAGTAAGAAAAATACCTGGTCAACCAACTGGCAAGCCAACCCAAAGGTATAAACTAACGTTTAATGACCTTAAAGCCCCACCTATTGGGTAAAAAGGAGGCCACCATCATCAGTGCCTATGCCCCTGCCATGACCAACTCTGACGAGATCAAAACCAAGTTCTATAATGACCTGGAAGTCGTTATTGCTGCAACAGCCAGCTCTGACAAACTCCTGATACTTGGTGACTTCAATGCCAGAGTTGGAAGTGACCATCAATCATGGAATGGAGTCATAGGTGCACATGGCATTGGAAAATGTAACAGCAACGGCCTTCTGCTGCTGAGAACATGCTCTGAATTTGACCTGCTCATCACCAACACGATATTCCAACTACCAAAGCGCAAGACAACTTCATGGATGCCTCCACGTTCACACCACTGGCACTTGATTGGCTACGTCATCGTGAGGAGGAGCGACCGGCACGATGTCAGGGTGACCAAGGCTGACCATCGTCTCATCATCTCCAAACTTAACATCCGGATTAAGCCTCCCAGACGCCCACAAGGAAAAAGACGTCTCAAGCGTTTTAACATCGCTCGCCTACAACAGGAACACACCAGACCGGCCTTTGTTGAGGCTCTAGCCCATCACCTGGAGTCTCTAAGCATGCAAACGCTGAGGTAGACTGGACTGCCCTCAAGACCGTGCTGCATTCTACAGCCCTTGAATCATCACGTGGTGTTCCCATACGTACACATCGAGATTGGTTTGATGAGAACGATGCAGAAATCCGAGCACTCCTTGACGACAAACATCGCCTGCATGAAGCAAACCTGCATGACAGCAGCTCAAGCTTAAAGAAAACTGCCTTCCTCAACATCCGCAGGGTCGTCCAGCGGAGACTCGGAGTCATGCAAGACGCCTGGCTGTGCGCAGAAGCTGCAGAGATTCAGTTCTACGCTGACCGTAACACCACCAAGTGCTTCTATGATACACTCAAGCAGGTCCATGGTCCGCAACACTCAGGAACTTCACCTCTCCTGGATGCGGATGTAAGCAACACTCCTCACGGAGAAGGACAAAATACTTGCAAGGTGGGCTGAACACTTCAGTGCAGTCCTCAACCAGCCATCGTGCATAAATGAGGAGGCAATTGCGAGACTGCCTCAAGTTGAAATAAACCAGTCCCTTGCTGTCCTACCATCCATTGAGGAAACCAGCAAAGCCATAAGCCTCCTCTCATTAGGCGAAGCTCCAGGGTCCGATGCCATTCCAGCGGAAATCTACAAGGCTTAGTCGAGGAACTGACCGACCTCTTCCGGTCTCTGTGGAAATTAGAAGCCGTTCCCCAGGAGTTCAAGGATGCCTCTACAATCCATCTCTATAAGAGGAAAGGCAATCGGCAGGCCTGCGACAACCATAGAGGCATCTCCATAATATCAGTCGCTGGCAAAACCTTGGCAAGAATCCTTCTGAACCGCCGAATTGTCCACCTCGACCAGGGTCTGCTACCTGAGAGTCGGCGTGGTTTCAGCAAAGACCGCGGAACCGCTGACATGGTACTTACTGCCAGGCTGTTACAGGAGGAATAATGGCAAGAACAAAATGCTGATCTATATAATGGCTTTCGTTGATCTAACAAAAGCATTCGACACAGTCAGCCGGGAGGGCCTATGGAAGATCATGGCCAAGCATGCGGTGTCCAGACAAGTTCATTGGCATCGTGCACAAACTCCTTGATGGCAACATGGCCAGTGTCAGAGACCAGCAAGAACTCTCTGATCCGCTCCCAATCACAAACGGGGTGAAGCAAGGCTGCGTTCTAGCACCAACACTCTTCAGCTTGGTGTTTTCTGCCATGCTGCAAGACTCATTCCAGAACCACAACACTGGGATTAGCTTCATCTACCGTTTTGACGGCGGGCTTATTCAATCTGCAGAGGATGCAGGCCAAAACTAGAGTGGAGGAAGTCACCGTTCGAGAACTTTTGTTTGCTGATGACTGTGCTCTGCCTCCTGGCTCAAATAAAGATCTACAGGACAGTATGGACCACTTCTCCTCAACTTGCAACAACTTCGGCCTAACAATCAGCACAAAGAAGACTGAAGTCCTGTACCAAACTGATCCTGGGAAACCCTACACTGAGCCCCCCACCATCTTTGTGAATGGGCAAAAGCTTTCAGCCGTTGACAAGTTTACTTACCTTGGTAGTACTCTGTCTCGTGCTGTGCACATAGATAATGAAGTTAACATCAGGATTGTCAAGGCCAGTGCAGCATTTGGGCGTCTACGTGACTCGGTATGGGAAAGGACTGGCATCAAGCAGGAGACAAAACTGAAGGTCTACCGGCCTGTTGTCTTACCAACTCTTCTGTATGGGTGCGAAGCCTGGACAGTCTACCAGCGACCATGCCAAGAAATTGAACCATCTCCACGAGCTGTCTGAGGAAACTGCTGAGGACCAATTGGCAAGACAGAATCCCTGACACGGAAGTCCTCAGCAAGGCCAATATCCCCAGCATCCATACCTTGATTGCGAAGGAACAGCTTAGATGGACTGGCCACGTGACCAGAATGCCCTGCATGCGAGACTGCCGAAACAAGTCTTCTTTGGCGAGCTGAAGAATGGCAAGCGAGCGCAAGGTGGCCCCAAAAGAACGCTACAACGGCACCCTGAAAGCTTCCTTGAAGAGCTTTGGGTTCGACCTGAAAAGCTGTGAACCCCCTAGCTCAGCACCGACCTGCCTGGAGAAGAGAAGTATGGGATGGTGCAGTCCTCTGTGAGAGCAGGAGAAGCTCCTGTGCTGTCTTGAAGAGGCAGCGGCGCTAATCTTCCAAGCAAGGACTTGTGGCTGCACATCAGAGCTCTGCATCCTCCCTGACCTGTCCAGTGTTGCCACAGAGAATCCCGAGCTCAGATTGGCCTGATCAGCCATCTGCGCACTCATCAAAACCCAACAAAATGATAAACGTGCCATGGTCATCATCAACTATGATGGACGAACAAGAAGTGTGTAGTGTATAGTCGTGTGTAGTGTATTGTATAGTAGTGTAGTGTATAGTGTAGTGTATAGTAGTGTAGTGTTTCCATAGAGCCCAATGTGTTCACTTACCGACCATTCCCCTGTCAACGTCGGGCTGTTATAGCCAAAGTAGATATCGATGCACTGATCAACCGTGTTTACTTTAACACTGTGTGTGTTTATAATGTTAGTATTTCCATGCATTAATATCCATCAGTGGGGGGCCAAGGCGTCCCTTCCCCCCTGCCACGCTGCCCGTGACCACACTTCACCAGGCGAGTCTCGCTATCCGATCAAGGGATACGGTGCTCTTGGTCCGCGGACACGGCAAACATCTCCCACGAGTGCTCTCGATCGGGGTGTAAGCTGAACACCACCTGCACGCTCCGCGTGACACACACAAAGACAAAAGTCACCCACGCCCCCCCCCCCCCCCCCGTATAGCCTCAATGGGCTGTTGTGGCAAGTGCTGCTATCGCCCGTTCTTTATTTTGTATTTATTTGACCAGACAAGGTGCCCACTGAGGTGTGTAGATTGCTTTGAGACGCGACCTGGCCATCACGAACGATGGCTGAACGAAGTGGCCATAGTATCGTCGTGTGGAGCTTTAGAGCGGTCAGATGGCTCTGAACGCGTAGTGACGTCGATTCTAAATGTGGAGGGAAAATCCGAAGGACTCGGGAAAAACTCCACGCGACCACGGGGAGAGAGAGAGATACGCAAACTCCAAATAGACAGCAGGCTTCGTCAGGGTCCCTATCGAACTGATGACCTCCTGCATACCAGGCGAGGTAGTCAACATCTCCTAGCCACCGTGATGACGATGAGAGAGACACGCAAACTCCAAATACACAGCAGGCTTCGTCGGTTCCCTATCGAACCCACGACCTCCTGCACACCGGGCGAGGTAGTCAACATCTCCTAGCCACCGTGACGGGAAGTCGATCCACGTGCCGGGCGACGCGACAACTTGACGCGTCTGTCCCTCCACATTTAACAAATACACATATACTGTACATACAGTAGAACATGTACACATGTATACAGTAGAACAAATACACATATACTGTACATACGTTCGATGCTATCGGAGCGAATGAAGCCTTGAACCATGCATTTCCTCCACTCGCTTCACGACCAAATCACCAAACGACCGGTTTCGTGGAACCAAAGCCCGCCGCCGTCAAGAGGGGTTCTACCGTGAGTCAAGAGGGGTTCTACCGTGAGTCAAGAGGGGTTCTACCGTGAGTCAAGAGAGGTTCTACCGTGAGTCAAGAGGGGTTCTACCGTGAGTCAAGAGGGGTTCTACCGTGAGTCAAGAGGGGTTCTACCGTGAGTCAAGAGAGGTTCTACCGTGAGTCAAGAGGGGTTCTACCGTGAGTCAAGAGGGGTTCTACCGTGCGTCATGAGGGGTTCTACCGTGAGTCAAGAGGGGTTCTACCGTGAGTCAAGAGGGGTTCTACCGTGAGTCAAGAGGGGTTCTACCGTGAGTCAAGAGGGGTTCTACCGTGAGACAAGAGGGGTTCTACCGTGAGTCAAGAGGGGTTCTACCGTGAGTCAAGAGGGGTTCTACCGTGAGACAAGAGGGGTTCTACCGTGCGTCAGTTTTAGATTTTACCTCATCCCATCAGCCACCGCGGCACTTCTAGGAGTGCATCGCTTCAGCAGCGCACCGATTCAACAAATCGGCAAAGCTCCGAGACCGGTTTTGCCGCGCAGCGTCTCATCAGCAGCAGTGAGGCTCGCTCGGACCAATGTCGAAGAACCGCCAGATGTTTCAAAGGCAAGGACTCTCCGCATGCTACATGCGGGTCCGAGTTCAATGCAAATCCGCTGCTACATGCAGCTATAGCTGGTGGGACGGGTTTTATGAGTATCGGTGTGGGGAAGTCTCATTATGGGAAATGTATCTGCAATAAAGAAGGGTTGGGAGAAGGAGGCCACCTCCTCTACCTACCACTGTAGAGTGGAGTCACCGCCCCAAGGGGGCCACCTCCTCTACCTACCGCTGTAGAGTGGAGACACCGCCCCAAGAGGGCCACCTCCTCTACCTACCGCTGTAGAGTAGAGACACCGCCCCAAGAGGGCCACCTCCTCTACCTACCGCTGTAGAGTGGAGACACCACCCCAAGGGGGCCACCTCCTCTACCTACCGCTGTAGAGTGGAGACACCGCCCCAAGGGGACCACCTCCTCTACCTACCACTGTAGAGTGGAGTCACCACCCCAAGGGGACCACCTCTACCTACCACTGTAGAGTGGAGTCACCGCACTAAAGAAGGCGCTAGAGTTCTGCATATTGCTACAGGCTGATTTTTGAGAACTGGGGGGACACGCAAGATCGTGAGTCCCTCACGATCTTGCGTTCGGTCGCGTTGCGTGTCCAAGCGGGTCCCTGTTACTTAAGTAAGTCACATACAGATCACACAAGCCAGACAGTACTTGTGGGGTTCTGCCTCTGAGTGTGCATGAAAGTAACATCTTTAAAAGTGTGGCAAAGCGACCGACCCACCCGCTGTGTCACGTCCCTCCCAAACTATTCCGAATCGTCGCACACAGCAAATACACAACGCAGTACAACAATCGTCATCGATAGCGGATACTCACAGAGCAGATGACCACGCACACAAAGAGGCCGTAAATCTTCAGGTTGCAGAGCACGGATCTGAAAAACGACCGTCACCAGCAAGGAAATTATTAATTTAACAACCCCAAAAATAGAGTTTGGTTGCCCGGACCGCCCACACCAATGTGGTGCCACACACTTACACCGCCTTCATTCTTTGGCTGGTTTGTTTGATTAATGGACAATCATGCGACGAATGTACATTATTTGATCAATTGAACGGCGTGTTAACATCAGCACACGGGAGAGACAAAGGTGGCCGTGCGCGGGTATTTGGCCACACCGCTTCCTCGTGAAGCTATGCAGGCCTTAATAGGTTGATTACTCGCTCACTGCACTTGTCCCAGCAACCTGTTAAAGGCTATACGGGAGGCCTTTGTCCTTGTACACTCACGGCTAACATCGTTGCGCGAATACGTGGACCAATTTCTGGGCATCTGCTAGGTTTACTCGGCCTCAAATGTGGTACTTAGTGAAACGTGTAAAACATCAACGCTGGGGAGAGACAAAGGCGGCCGGGCGCGGGTGCTGACTGACCATACCAACCCCCACACGTCTTACCAGCCTTCACAGGCGCCACGGTGGCTAGGAGATGTTAACTACCTCGCCTGGTATACAGGAGGTCGTGGGTTTGATCACAACCCTGACAAGGCCTGTTGTATATTTGGAGTTTGCGTGTCTCTCTCTCTCATCATCATAATGGTGGCTAGGAGATGTTAACTACCTCGCCTGGTATACAGGAGGTCGTGGGTTCCATCTGGACCCTGACGACGCCTGCTGCTGCTGCATATTTGGAGTTTGCGTGTCTCTCTCCCCCGTGGTCGCGTGGATTTCTCTCCGGGCTCACCGCAGGCGCTGCGAGGACGCGAGTCGGACGTGCAGCCCCTCGGGTTTGTCGGCTGGGCCCAGCGAGGGTGACGAGGAGGAGCAGGAGGAGAACGAGAGGGGTGACGAGGAGGATGGCGAGAGGGACAGGCCCGCCACCTCGCTGCCCAGTCTGCCCCGACCCTGCACGCCACTGCCCTCCCGGCTGAGGCTGCCCTCCCAGAAGCCCTGGTCGTCCGATAGCCCCGGCCCCAGCGGCTGGGGCAGGGCCGGCCACCTAGGATAGGGCGCCGTGGTGGTGAGATGTTAACTCCCTCGCCAGGTCTACAGGAGGTCGTGAGTTCAATCCCGACCCTGACGATGCCTGCTGCTGTATATTTGGAGTTAGCGTGTCTCTCTCCGTGGTGAGATGTTAACTCCCTCGCCTGGTCTACAGGAGGTCGTGGGTTCAATCCCGACCCTGACGCCTGCTGTATATTTGGAGTTTGCGAGTCTCTCTCCGTGGTGAGATGTTAACTACCTCGCCTGGTCTACAGGAGGTCGTGAGTTCGATCCCGACCCTGACGCCTGCTGCTGTATATTTGGAGTTTGCGTGTCTCTCTCTCTCTCTGTGGTGAGATGTTAACTACCTCGCCTGGTCTACAGGAGGTCTTGAGTTCAATCCCAACCCTGACGCCTGCTGCTGTATATTTGGAGTCTGCGTGTCTCTCTCCCCGTGGTCACGTGGATTTTTCTCCGGGTCCTCCGGTTTTCCCCTTCACATTTACAATGAACGTCGTGCGTTTAGAGAGTTTGGCTGCCAGATATATCCGCGCAATAAGCCACTTCGCTCAGCTATCAGTTGTGGCCAGGTTGCTTCTGAAAATAAAGCGCGGTGGGCCTTAGCTGGTAAATAAAAACAATCGTTGTATAGTTTAGTTTATAGCAGAGGGGTCGGTAACCTTCCAAAGAAGGAGGAGAGCCATGTTTGAGTGTTTGTCTTTGACCGTGTAGCCTCAACAGACTGCTGGGGTAAGTGCCGTTAGCGAGGAACACAACAACAACAACCATCACCACAACAACAACCATCACCACAACAACAACAACAGATACACTGAGTGATGGGACAGCACCACCACCACAACAACAACAACAGACACACTGAGTGATGGGACACCACCACCACCACAACAACAACAGACACACTGAGTGATGGGACACCACCACCACCACAACAACAACAACAGACACACTGAGTGATGGGACAGCACCACCACCACCACAACAACAACAACAACAGACACACTGAGTGATGGGACAGCACAACCACCACCACCAGCACCACAATAACAGACACACTGAGTGATGGGACACCACCACCATCACAACAACAGACACACTGAGTGACGGGACACCACCACCACAACAACAACAACAGACACACTGAGTGATGGGACAGCACCACCACCACAATAACAGACACACTGAGTGATGGGACACCACCACCACAACAACAGACACACTGAGTGATGGGACAGCACCACCACCACAATAACAGACACACTGAGTGATGGGACACCCCCGCCACCACCACCACAACAACAGACACACTGAGTGACGGGACAGCACCACCACCACCACAACAACAACAGCAGACACACTGAGTGACGGGACAGCACCACCACCGCCACAACAACAACAACAACAGACACACTGAGTGATGGGACAGCACCACCACCACAACAACAACAACAGACACACTGAGTGATGGGACAGCACCACCACCACAACAACAGACACACTGAGTGATGGGACAGCACCACCACCACAACAACAGACACACTGAGTGATGGGACAGCACCACCACCACAACAACAGACACACTGAGTGATGGGACACCACCACCACCACAACAACAGACACACTGAGTGACGGGACAGCACCACCACCACCACAACAACAACAGACACACTGAGTGATGGGACCACACCACCACCACAACAACAGACACACTGAGTGATGGGACAGCACCACCACCACAACAACAGACACACTGAGTGATGGGACAGCACCACCACCACCACCACAACAACAACAGACACACTGAGTGATGGGACCACACCACCACCACAACAACAGACACACTGAGTGATGGGACAGCACCACCACCACAACAACAGACACACTGAGTGATGGGACAGCACCACCACCACAACAACAGACACACTGAGTGATGGGACAGCACCACCACCACAACAACAGACACACTGAGTGATGGGACAGCACCACCACCACCACCACCACAACAACAACAGACACACTGAGTGACGGGACAGCACCACCACAACAACAACAGACACACTGAGTGACGGGACACCACCACCACCACAACAACAACAGACACACTGAGTGACGGGACAGCACCACCACAACAACAACAGACACACTGAGTGACGGGACACCACCACCACCACCACAACAACAACAGACACACTGAGTGACGGGACACCACCACCACCACCACAACAACAGACACACTGAGTGATGGGACACCACCACCACCACAACAACAACAACAGACACACTGAGTGACGGGACAGCACCACCACCACCACAACAACAACAACAGACACACTGAGTGACGGGACAGCACCACCACCACCACCACAACAACAACAGACACACTGAGTGACGGGACAGCACCACCACCACCACCACAACAACAACAGACACACTGAGTGACGGGACAGCACCACCACCACCACCACCACAACAACAGACACACTGAGTGACGGGACACCACCACCACCACCACAATAACAGACACACTGAGTGATGGGACACCACCACCACAACAACAACAGACACACTGAGTGATGGGACACCACCACCACCACAACAACAGACACACTGAGTGATGGGACACCACCACCACCACCACAACAACAGACACACTGAGTGATGGGACCACACCACCACCACCACAACAACAGACACACTGAGTGATGGGACAGCACCACAACAACAACAACAGACACACTGAGTGATGGGACCACACCACCACCACCACAACAACAGACACACTGAGTGATGGGACAGCACCACAACAACAACAACAGACACACTGAGTGATGGGACACCACCACCACCACCACAACAACAACAGACACACTGAGTGATGGGACACCACCACCACAACAACAGACACACTGAGTGACGGGACACCACCACCACAACAACAGACACACTGAGTGACGGGACAGCACCACCACCACAATAACAGACACACTGAGTGACGGGACAGCACCACCACCACAACAACAGACACACTGAGTGACGGGACAGCACCACCACCACCACAATAACAGACACACTGAGTGATGGGACAGCACCACCACCACAACAACAGACACACTGAGTGACGGGACACCACCACCACCACAACAACAGACACACTGAGTGACGGGACACCACCACCACCACAACAACAGACACACTGAGTGACGGGACACCACCACCACAACAACAGACACACTGAGTGACGGGACACCACCACCACCACAACAACAGACACACTGAGTGACGGGACACCACCACCACCACAACAACAGACACACTGAGTGACGGGACACCACCACCACCACAACAACAGACACACTGAGTGACGGGACACCACCACCACCACAACAACAGACACACTGAGTGACGGGACACCACCACCACAACAACAGACACACTGAGTGACGGGACACCACCACCACCACAACAACAGACACACTGAGTGACGGGACACCACCACCACAACAACAGACACACTGAGTGACGGGACACCACCACCACCACAACAACAGACACACTGAGTGACGGGACACCACCACCACAACAACAGACACACTGAGTGACGGGACACCACCACCACCACAACAACAGACACACTGAGTGACGGGACACCACCACCACCACACCCAACGTTGCGAGCGAGGCTGCGTGTCACCTGGCCGCTGCAAGCAGCGGCGTGTTCTCCGTCACGTCTCCCATCGCCACGTCTCCCATCGTCACGTCTCCCACCGCAACCTCTCCCACCGCCACGTCGCCAAATCGCCCGCCCTGCTCACACCTGACGGGGCGAGGAGAAGGGGCTGAGATGGCCGCGCTGTTTGCAGCGCTGCGACTCTTCACAGACGCCGACCGAGGCGTACTCTGTGGGGGTAGCGGTGAATCGGGGTGGCCGGGGGGAGGTTGCGGTGGTGGTGACCGCCCCGGGCCCCGCGCTTTGGGGGGTCCCCGACCCGTCCCCCGCTCTCCTCCGTGTAACCCTTCCGTAAACATGTTTTTGTTGGGTTACATCGCGCAAACACACTGAGTGAGTCTCTGAGTGAGTGAGTCTCTGAGTCTCTGAGTGAGTGAGTCTCTAAGTGAGTCTCTGAGTGAGTCTCTGAGTCTCTGAGTGAGTCTCTGAGTGAGTCTCTAAGTAAGTGAGTCTCTGAGTGAGTCTCTGAGTCTCTGAGTGAGTGAGTCTCTGAGTGAGTCTCTGAGTGAGTCTCTGAGTGAGTCTCTGAGTCTCTGAGTGAGTGAGTCTCTGAGTGAGTGAGTCTCTGAGTCTCTGAGTAAGTGAGTCACTGAGTGAGTCTCTGAGTGAGTCTCTGAGTGAGTGAGTCTCTGAGTGAGTCTCTGAGTGAGTGAGTCTCTGAGTGAGTCTCTGAGTCTCTGAGTGAGTCTCTGAGTAAGTGAGTTTCTGAGTGAGTCTCTGAGTGAGTGAGTCTCTGAGTGAGTCTCTGAGTGAGTCTCTGAGTGAGTGAGTCTCTGAGTGAGTCTCTGAGTGAGTGAGTCTCTGAGTGAGTCTCTGAGTCTCTGAGTGAGTGAGTCTCTGAGTGAGTCTCTGAGTGAGTGAGTCTCTGAGTGAGTCTCTGAGTGAGTGAGTCTCTGAGTGAGTGAGTCTCTGAGTGAGTCTCTGAGTCTCTGAGTGAGTGAGTCTCTGAGTGAGTGAGTCTCTGAGTGAGTGAGTCTCTGAGTGAGTGAGTCTCTGAGTCTCTGAGTGAGTGAGTCTCTGAGTGAGTCTCTGAGTCTCTGAGTAAGTGATTCTCTGAGTGAGTGAGTCTCTGAGTGAGTCTCTGAGTGAGTCTCTGAGTGAGTCTCTGGGTCTCTGAGTGAGTCTCTGAGTAAGTGAGTCTCTGAGTGAGTGAGTCTCTGAGTGAGTCTCTGAGTGAGTGAGTCTCTGAGTGAGTCTCTGAGTGAGTGAGTATCTGAGTGAGTCTCTGAATGAGTGAGTCTCTGAGTGAGTCTCTGAGTCTCTGAGTGAGTGAGTCTCTGAGTGAGTCTCTGAGTGAGTGAGTCTCTGAGTGAGTCTCTGAGTGAGTGAGTCTCTGAGTGAGTGAGTCTCTGAGTGAGTCTCTGAGTCTCTGAGTGAGTGAGTCTCTGAGTGAGTGAGTCTCTGAGTGAGTCTCTGAGTCTCTGAGTAAGTGATTCTCTGAGTGAGTGAGTCTCTGAGTGAGTCTCTGAGTGAGTCTCTGAGTGAGTCTCTGAGTGAGTGAGTCTCTGAGTGAGTCTCTGAATCTCTGAGTAAGTGATTCTCTGAGTGAGTGAGTCTCTGAGTGAGTCTCTGAGTGAGTCTCTGAGTGAGTCTCTGGGTCTCTGAGTGAGTCTCTGAGTGAGTCTCTGAGTGAGTGAGTCTCTGAGTGAGTCTCTGAGTGAGTGAGTCTCTGAGTGAGTCTCTGAGTGAGTGAGTCTCTGTGTAAGTGATTCTCTGAGTGAGTCTCTGAGCGAGTCTCTGAGTGAGTCTCTGAGTAAGTGAGTCTCTGAGTGAGTGAGTCTCTGAGTGAGTGAGTCTCTGAGCGAGTCTCTGAGTGAGTCTGCATGTCTCCGAGTGAGAACAGTCAACGTGGCCCCCGCCTCACCTGGCGTTCATCAGGAGGGGCCCTGCGGTGGTGGCGAGGCACGGGGCCCTCTCGGGGCTCCTGGCCCAGCGCCTCTCCCTACGCTTGGGACTCGTGCGGCCCATCGCCACCGCCACTGCCCGGTGTCCAACCGGGCCCTCGCCCGCGTTGTTACGGCCGTCCACCTCGCACTGCGACTCCGGGTCCAAGAACATTTTGTCCAGGGCGGCTGTCCTCGTCCGACGCTCTTCTTGCGGGACACCGCCTCTTGGGATCTGTCCGACTGCCTTTGTCGCGTTCCCGTGGGGCTCGACTCCTTACCAAGCCCGGGGTTGGTCAAATAGTCTCTCGTTTGAAATCTAAATTTAGTCTCTCTCTATTTGTTTGTGGGGGGGGGGGGTTTGAAGTTGTAATTTGACCGAGGTAATTGATGACAATTTTGTTGAGTTTATTTAAATTAACAAAAAAATGTGGTTTTGTTTTTAGCTTAAGTGGGCGCAGTCGAATGTCTTGGATGTGTGGAGCGCTTTGGAAGGAAGAAAATAAAAAATAAAAAAAGTTTGGTTGTTTCTTTTGAGATGCCCAAGTGTGTGTCTTTCACAAGGGGCCTCTCACTATCTTAACGTCCAAGCCCTGCGCGAGTGACACGTTGCTTGGAACGTGGCAATTTCCTTTGGGATGAATTTTTTTTAATTTTGGGTTCAGGGCCAATTACCTGCAAAAACAACGGGGCAAAGAGAGCACACACGGAGGGCGCTTAGCAAGAGGCAGGGACAAGGATCGATCCCCTGGCAGCGATCCGGCACGCGTGCAAGGCGCTTCAAAAACATGTTCACACCGCGGAGAATCTGCAACCACGCCACGAGGAATGTGCCGGCTCCTCCTCCGAGCTCTGGAGACCACTTTGAGGAGATCCCAGGCCACGCGTTGACTACGATGGCGGACACGTGGGGGAGACTCTTTGACTCTTTGAAGCTATTAACATCACATTTGTTATCACGTCACAGTGTAGTAGTAGTATTATTATCCGGTCTTTTTCCATTCAAAACGAGAGTCCCATGTAAGTGTTGACATTGTGTTTTTGAAGCGCCCTGGACTTTGCGTGTCGACGTGTAATGAAGATCAACTTGCAGCTACGGCCGCCGCTCACGACGTTTCGCGGTGTGGGTCCTCGCTCCATGTGTGGCGGTGTTCACTCTCGATGTGTGGCGGTGTTCACTCTCCATGTGTGGCGGTGTTCACTCTCCATGTGTGGCGGTGTTCACTCTCCATGTGTGGCGGTGTTCACTCTCCATGTGTGGAGGTGTTCACTCTCCATGTGTGGCGGTGTTCACTCTTGATGTGTGGTGGTGTTCACTCTCCATGTGTGGCGGTGTTCACTCTCCATGTGTGGCGGTGTTCACTCTCCATGTGTGGCGGTGTTCACTCTCCATGTGTGGAGGTGTTCACTCTCCATGTGTGGAGGTGTTCACTCTCCATGTGTGGCGGTGTTCACTCTTGATGTGTGGTGGTGTTCACTCTCCATGTGTGGCGGTGTTCACTCGATGCGTGGCGGTGTTCACGCTCCATGCGTGGAGGTGTTCACGGTTGATGTGTGGAGGTGTTCACTCTCCATGTGTGGCGGTGTTCACTCTCCATGTGTGGAGGTGTTCACTCTCCATGCGTGGAGGTGTTCACGGTTGATGTGTGGAGGTGTTCACTCTCCATGTGTGGCGGTGTTCACTCTCCATGTGTGGCGGTGTTCACTCTCCATGTGTGGCGGTGTTCACTCTCCATGTGTGGAGGTGTTCACTCTCCATGTGTGGAGGTGTTCACTCTCCATGTGTGGAGGTGTTCACTCTCCATGTGTGGAGGTGTTCACTCTCCATGTGTGGAGGTGTTCACTCTCCATGTGTGGAGGTGTTCACGCTTGATGTGTGGAGGTGTTCACTCTCCATGTGTGGCGGTGTTCACTCTCCATGTGTGGCGGTGTTCACTCTCCATGTGTGGCGGTGTTCACTCTCCATGTGTGGCGGTGTTCACTCTCCATGTGTGGTGGTGTTCACTCTCCATGTGTGGCGGTGTTCACTCTCCATGTGTGGCGGTGTTCACTCTCCATGTGTGGCGGTGTTCACTCTCCATGTGTGGTGGTGTTCACGTGACGACGCGCCGCTTCCACGACGGCAACGCGTGGGGGGCGAGGGGAAAGCCAGCCCCCCCCCCCCCCACCCCGAAGTGCGGGGCCCGGGTCGGCCGCCCAGATTCGCCCCTTAGCCTGGGGGGCTCTGGGAGCAGTCGGTGGAGCCGTCGGATTTGCAAACAAATCTGCGGGCACTTCGACAGAATGACGGCCGCCTTTGCCTCCCCGGCGGCGAGGTTAACTGCGCACCGCACCAGGTACTCATTTGAGGCCGAGTCGACCTAGGGAAGAACCAGGGCCAATTCAGATAATAATCGTCGCCGGTGTCAGCGGTGGCTATGAATGGGAATTGAACCTCCCCCACCCCATGCCCCTCCCCCATGCCCCCCACCCCATGCCCCCCACCCCATGCCCCCCACCCCATGCCCCCTTCGCCTCCCCCATGAGCCTCCACCCCCATGCCCCTCCCATGCCCCTCCCATGGCCCCTCCCCCGTGCCCCCCCCACCCCATGCCCCTCCCATGGCCCCTCCCCCGTGTCCCTCCACCCCATGCCCCCCCACCCCATGCCCCACCCATGGCCCCCCCCGTGCCCCCCCCACCCCATGCCCCTCCCATGACCCCCCTCCCATGGCCCCTCCCCCGTGCCCCCCCCACCCCATGCCCCACCCATGGCCCCTCCCCCGTGTCCCTCCACCCCGTGTCCCTCCACCCCATGCCCCCCCACCCCATGCCCCACCCATGGCCCCTCCCCCGTGCCCCCCCACCCCATGCCCCCCCCACCCCATGCCCCTCCCATGGCCCCTCCCCCGTGCCCCCCCCCACCCCATGCCCCTCCCATGGCCCCTCCCCCGTGCCCCCCCACCCCATGCCCCTCCCATGGCCCCTCCCCCGTGCCCACCCCATGCCCCTCCCATGGCCCCTCCCCCGTGCCCCCCCCACCCCATGCCCCTCCCATGGCCCCTCCCCCGTGCCCCCCACCCCATGCCCCTCCCATGGCCCCTCCCCCGTGCCCCCCCCCCCCCCCCCCCCCACTTGGCGTCTTCTCCATCCCGTGACCGTTGTGGAGTAAAGCAGCGAATTTCAGACAAATCTCCACTTAGTAAAAACATTTAAACTCTCCAGGTATTTATAAAATATATATACATATACAGTGAGGGGAAAAACGTTTTTGATCCCCTGCTCACCAAGCTGCTTGGCAATGGTCTTGTAGCCCACTCCAGCCTTGTGTAGGGCTACAATCTTGTCCCTGACATCCTTGGAGAGCTCTTTGGTCTTGGCCATGGTGGAGAGTTTTGAATCTGATTGATTGATTGCTTTTATACAGGTAACAAGCTGAGATTAGGAGCACTCCCTTTAAGAGTGTGCTCCTAATCTCAGCGCGTTACCTGTATAAAAGACACCTGGGAGCCAGAAATCTTTCTGATTGAGAGGGGGTCAAATACTTATTTCCCTCATTAAAATGCAAATCAATTTATAACATTTTCGACATGCGTTTTTCCGGATTTTTTGTTGTTATTCTGTCTCTCACTGTTCAAATAAACCTACCATTAAAATTATAGACTGATCATTTCTTTGTCAGTGGACAAACGTACAAAATCAGCAGGGGATCAAATACTTTTTTCCCTCACTGTATCAAGAATATATATTCTGTATAGATATAGAAACAAATATATAGCTAAAAGATAAATACAAAATATGTATACTGTATAGATATACAAAATATTAAATATATAAATACATTTTAATATATAAAATACACAAAATGTATAAAAATAAGTAAATTTAACTACGGATGAATTAAAATATACACACACATATATAAGTATAAAGATTTATACAAATCCATCCGTACTACGAATTGTCACCTTCAATATCGTGACAGTGGAGAGACGTGAGAGAGAGACACGGGGAGATAGACAGTGGAGAGACGTGAGAGACACGGGGAGATAGACAGTGGAGAGACGTGAGAGAGAGACACGAGGAGATAGACAGTGGAGAGACGTGAGAGAGAGACACGGGGAGATAGACAGTGGAGAGACGTGAGAGAGAGAGAGAGAGACACGGGGAGATAGACAGTGGAGAGACGTGAGAGAGAGACACGGGGAGATAGACAGTGGAGAGACGTGAGAGAGAGACACGAGGAGATAGACAGTGGAGAGACGTTAGAGACACGGGGAGATAGACAGTGGAGAGACGTGAGAGAGAGACACGGAAAGACAGACAGTGGAGAGACGTGAGAGAGAGACACGGTAAGATAGACAGTGGAGAGACGTGAGAGAGAGAGACACGGGGAGATAGACAGTGGAGAGACGTGAAAGAGAGACACGGGGAGATAGACAGTGGATAGACGTGAGAGAGAGACACGGGGAGATAGACAGTAGAGAGGCGTGAGAGAGATACACGTGGAGATAGACAGTGGAGAGACGTGAGAGACACGAGGAGATAGACAGTGGAGAGACGTGAGAGAGAGACACGAGGAGATAGACAGTGGAGAGACGTGAGAGAGAGACACGGGGAGATAGACAGTGGAGAGACGTGAGAGAGAGACACGGGGAGATAGACAGTGGAGAGACGTGAGAGAGAGACACGGGGAGATAGACAGTGGAGAGACGTGAGAGAGAGACACGGGGAGATAGACAGTGGAGAGACGTGAGAGAGAGACACGGGGAGATAGACAGTGGAGAGACGTGAGAGAGAGACACGGGGAGATAGACAGTGGAGAGACGTGAGAGAGAGACACGGGGAGATAGACAGTGGAGGGACGTGAGAGACACGAGGAGATAGACAGTGGAGAGACGTGAGAGACACGAGGAGATAGACAGTGGAGAGACGTGAGAGACACGGAGAGATAGACAGTGGAGAGACGTGAGAGAGACACGTGGAGATAGACAGTGGAGAGACGTGAGAGAGAGACACGGGGAGATAGACAGTGGAGAGACGTGAGAGAGACACGGGGAGATAGACAGTGGAGAGACGTGAGAGACACGGAGAGATAGACAGTGGAGAGACGTGAGAGAGAGACACGGGGAGATAGACAGTGGAGAGACGTGAGAGAGAGACACGGGGAGATAGACAGTGGAGAGACGTGAGAGAGACACGAGGAGATCGACAGTGGAGAGACGAGAGAGAGACACGAGGAGATAGACAGTGGAGAGACGTGAGAGAGAGACACGAGGAGATAGACAGTGGAGAGACGTGAGAGAGACACGAGGAGATCGACAGTGGAGAGACGTGAGAGAGAGACACGGGGAGATAGACAGTGGAGAGACGTGAGAGAGAGACACGGGGAGATAGACAGTGGAGAGACGTGAGAGAGACACGAGATCGACAGTGGAGAGACGAGAGAGAGAGAGAGACACGTGGAGACTGTGCGACCTGAAGCAGACATGCGAGTGTAGTAATTGCTGATTCATCATCATGATGAATTAAGAGGCGTTATACTAAATCCTGAATTTCGAAGGAAGCCATTTGCCCCTCCAACCATCACAACGACCACAAATGCGGAGATGCCTTTGAGTGCCTCGATTATGTAACAAAAAACAGCAGAGGCCTGAAGGAAATAATGAGGCTCGCATATTTGGGTCAAGGCGTTTA